CGCTGCCTCATGCGTCCCGCCTCCTCCTTAGCTAGCTTGACTGCTTCGCAAAAGGAGGAGACGGCATCCCAGTCCCCCTCGCTCCGCATCCTGCACTAGGCCCGGACGCGAGAGGTCGCCATCGCAGATCACTTCCCTGAGGGTACGGCGGTGCTCAGCCCACGCAATGCATTCCGCTATAGTGTGTTCCACCGTGTCCTCAAGGCGGTCCTCACAGTGATGACACCCGGACGTTTACTCCCGCCCCATCAGACACAGGTACCTTCCGACTCTTACTGGCTTAAAACCACCCCGTTCCTATTCCTGCACTTCGAGTCGGAGCCCCGGTCACCCTTTAAGTCCCCTGTGGCTCCGTATGGGCATCAGCTCCATCCGTGATGTCTGATGGAGTGTCTCTCGTGACGGCTGGAGCGTGAGGAGGCTCGTTCCCTCACGAGCTCCGCCTCCTCCTTAGCTAGCAGGACTGCTTCGCAGAAGGAGGAGACGGCATCCCTGTCTCCCTCACTCTGTACCATGGTCTGAACCAGTGTCGGACGCGAGAGGTCGCCGTCGCCGATCACATTCCTGAAGACACGACGGTGTTCAGCCCACGCAGGGCACACTGCCACCGTATGCTCCACCGTGTCCCCCGGGTGGCCCTTTGCATGATGACACCCGAGCGTTTCCTCCCGCCCAATCCGAAGCAGGAACCTACCGAAAATTCCGTGTCCGGTAAGCACCTGCGTCAGGCGGTAGATAAGGACGCCGTAGCGTCTCTGTCTCTCAAGCCACTCCTCAAATCTAACATGACACCTGCTGAGGAAGTACGTGGATGTTCAATAGCTATATACGGACGCCCAATAGCTATATATGGACGTTCAATAGCTATATACGGACGCCCAATAGCTATATACACACACACACACATATTCAGCTAAATTTATATTATTTATACAATTTCATGATTATTTTCTGTCTTCATTGAGGGGCCGCACCGCCGTCCGTGAGTCACTGCAGGGTGCCACCTGAAAACCAGCGTTGGGCACAAACGTCCAACTACATGCTGAGGTGGAGGCCCTTTTGGCATTAGCACGCGCAAATTAAAATTAATATTATTATTTTGTTTATTAGATTTTTTTTTATTGTCTATTCAAAATTCTGTTATTATCGTATTATTATTTTGTTATATTGTGATGTTTTGATATATTGTCTGTTCTGATCTCTTTTCTTGTAAGTTTATTATTAGTATTTTGTTTATATATATGTATTTTTATTTTTTTTATATTCTTTGTTTTCTGTGCGTGTAATTGCCAAATAAATGATTTTTCTTTCTTTCTTTCTTTCATATACGGACGTTCGATAGCTAAGTGATCTTACATGATACCTGCTGAGGAAGAAACTTTCTTCGCGCGCATGGCCATCGTCAGGCTCTGCAAGAGACCCCTGCCATTACTATGTCAATTGTCAGGATCCGCAATCAACGGACCTCCCATTTCCGTGTGTGAGCAGTATAGTGATGTAGCTTTTTACTTGATGACCATAGCGTTTGGGTCAACTGAAATTTGCATGACCATTTTTGAATTCCTAACGTAGCCCAGTAGATGGTGCTAGTCCAGCAGTGGACTTAAATAGGCTGATGATGATTAATAACTATATACGGACGCCCAATAGCTAGATGATCTTTCACAGTTATAGATGATCTTACATGATGACCGCTGGGGAAGAAACTTTCACGTATTTTACTCTTGCTTGCTTTGAAATAAAAATCGAGTTCTGAGTTCTTTCTTTAGATAAATTTGTAAAACCGGTACGCCGCGCCGATCACATACGGGCTGAACCGATTTGTATTTATGTATGGAATAGACTAGGCAAACATTTAAAAAATACGTTATTCCTACTGCGGCATCTTCTCATGTAAAAATCTCATAGAAACCTCAATTTTTTTGCATCTTGTTACCAATATTATACCAATATCGGGCATTAGTATATGTATTGATAGATTTTACGAATATTGTAATACTGTTAAAACTCTGTCCCAGACGAGTGACAAGAGAGAGGAAAAGAAAGAGACAAGTGAACCAAAGCTGGCAACGTTGCACTCGCAAATACCATCCACGCTGTGAGGACGTTAATTAGCCGAAGCCATGGTTAAATCACGATCAATATATCTAGGAGCCCAATTAGTTATCACGATGGTTTGGGGTTCAAAAATGTTGCAGCATGACTGCAAGAAGAATATCGCGAAAAATAAAATTATCGGAAAATGACGTATCCTACAAAGCTGGAAATCGAATAACTAAGCAATATTCATCAAGACATATAAAAAAAATTAACGGGAACTGGGGGACGTCGTAATGATGCGCGACATGTGTGACGCCAAAACGATTCTAGGATGTAAATACATATATATATATATATATATATATATATATATATATATATATATAAATAATAAAAATGAATCCCTTTTTCCCTTGGTCACAGCATCACGCGCGAATGGTTGAACCGATTTCACTAATTCTTTTTTTGTTGTATTTGTTATTGTCGGAAGAATGTCGAAATTTGACCAACGAGGCACTTGATTATTACTCAAGTATTATTATTACTATGCTACTAACTAAATAACATTACATAGTTCCATATTAAAAAATAAAAAATACAATACAATATGATAGAAGTTTACCTCGAACTTTGTCTTGACCCATTATAATTATTTATTATTCTGTGGTCAGACTAGTAACCTACTAGCTACTGACCTATTGAGAATACTAGTTTTTTTACAACTTTTTATAAGAAACCATATTTAAATGTATTGTATGGCATTTATATACATTGATTTTCATTGAAAGAGAAACATAAACCATTATCCTAAATCACATATTTCTATAACAATATTATGTGAATTATAATAATGAGTAGCTGATGGAAACAAGTCCTTGATTAAAATGTCATCATGGGCAGACTGTTTTGTACTAGTTTTATGCTCTATTTCAGACTGCTATGAGTTCATATTTGCGTAACAATGTCATTACTAAGGTCATTCTGGATTTGAATTTAGCATCAATGATGGAAAGGAACCAGTTGAGTTGAGCCGGGAGTTCCTTAATACTTAGACAAATCGATGACGAGAAGAATGTTAAAGTCAATAAAAAGTAAGCATTCGGCAATCGGCATTACCGGCCGAAAAATGTATGTGGAGCGCATGAAATCAATACTCCCCACAATTCACATTCTTAGTAGGAAATCATTCGTGAAACACAATATACCGAAACGAAACTCATTATAAAAACTATTTATGATTATTAGTATTCATAAATCAATCAAATTTCATACGTTTCAGTCATTTTTTCACTTAAAATATATTTTTCGAAAAACATTAATTACAATGACTTACCCAAAGATATTTCGGATCACAGTGATGAAAATACACAGGTTTCACAACACAGGGCACTATTTACATGCTTTTTGAAAACGTTTTATGTAATTTTATTCAGATTAATCAAAAATATTCAACATCGATGTGTCTGCGATTAGCGGATGACGGGCCGGACAGACGGAATGACGTGAAATTGAAATGACGTTACGCCTTGTACGTTACATTGGACATTTTCCATAATGATTTTAATCAAATAAAAAACCTTAAGAACTTTAATCTCCAGCTGATTTTCTACACAAGACACTAGTCACCGCGTCGCTTAAAGTTATTGGAAAAAACTAATAAGTTAAAGTTAGGTACTTAGGCGGCCGAAGTCCCTAACTATAACTTATTAGTTATTAGTTTAGGTCTCATCCTAAATGAGTATCATGTATGATGCCTGCCTGTAATCTACATTGACATAATTATACCAACGTTTATTAGCTGCTGTTGCTGGCTGCAGCTGTAACTCAAACAAAACAGTTAATTTTTTTAAGAATTTTGTGAGACTACGCCGCCCATATCCATGTCGGTTGGACAGTGGAATTCTTTGCCAGAGTCTGTATTTTCTGAAGGGTCAAAGGGTGTCTTCAAGGCCCGAGTAAATAGGTCAAACAAAAGTCAAAGTCAAAGTCAAAATCATTAGGCCAGAATGGCACTTTTGAACGACAACAAAAAAAAATTAAAAGTGAAGTTATTTGCTCATTCCAAGGTGTCGATTTCTATTGAGAAGAACGAGCAAGAAACTCCATAGGTTACTCTTTTTCAATCAAGTTCACAATACAATTTATTAGTTGCTTATGGGACGACGTGCTCCATCGTAGACCGCATCATCGCTTACCACCAACAAGCGAGATACCTAGTGGTCAAACGTCGGCCCTTCGGCCCATCAAATATAAAAACACTACGCTTAGGCTTCTACTTTTTTTTATTATTATAAGAATTACTATTCAAATTTATTTTATTTTCATCCATGATAGTTTCACTGCAGAGCAAAGGCCTCCCTACCCTCTTTCCACTCCTCTGTATGTAAACTTTTTTGCGGCCAATCCTTGTCATATGTGTCCAGTTATTTAGCCTTTTGGGCCTGCCCACATCTATTGATTTTGAGCGGGCTCCACTCGGTGTTAAGTGTAGCCCACCGCACGTCTGACATGCGGCAGACATGACCAGCCCAGTTCCACTTCAAGCCTGCGGCTATAAAACTATTCAATGAATGGAGTGAGTAAATAAATAGGTCTGTCTTGATTTTCAGCCTAATAGGACTGATACTATCTATTGGAAGTTAGACAGGCACAGGTATATTCAGGTTAACGCACCGTTATCACAATAATGACTGAAATTCACCTTGTCGCACACAACCAGTGCCAGCTAACTTTCAGAACGTCTACCGTCTACATAAACAACAATCTTTGTGCAAAACAATTTGAATTATTTAGTTTGTAAACCTTATTTTGCTTAACATTATACTTTTTATTTTATTTAGCCGATTGCTACACGAAGTCGTATTGGTACATCACTAGAATCATCATTTCCGAATGAAATTGTGAACGTCACCGTGAATTTTGACGTGCAAAACGTTTAAAATTTGTCATTGCTTCACAATCGTGGCTATTGTTTATTTCTGGGTGTTATTTACTTAATTATACTATTTTAATTGAATACTGTTTTTCAATTTATACTTATATTAATTCAAAATAATTTATCAATCAAAATGACGACAGTTAATTTGGCTCTGAATAGTATAATTAACGGAAGAAACGATTTCTGTTGTTTGTGTTTAAGTTCTCTAAAAGACGATCCTATAAAAGTTAATGATGTAGTTGTGGTTAATTTAGATAATTATGAATCGGACATAGCCGTTTCAGATGTTTTGAGTGTCGTATTTGATGAAGAGGTATGTAAATAACTATTTTCACTTTTAACAGTTACTTTGGTTGAAACTTTTGAAATATCGCTATTATTGGCCTTTGTTATGACTTTTAATTCTTGTCCCTTATGATACTGTTCTGTATTACCCTGCCCCTAAAGATTGTAAGATAGAAGCTCCATTTTCGTTTGTTATTTAAGTTATTTACTTAGTTGTTTATTGTTAAAGTATTTTATGTAGCAGAATCAAACAAATAAAAATCTCCATCTATAAGTAATTTCCGTGGCTTCCTTCCCTCATCTATCTACTTTCTGCAGTTATGACAATGTTATGTACCCAAAGACTTTGAATATCCTTAGCAATTTTACTTATCTGTTTTTATATTTCTCTTTTCAGATGTGTACCTACATAAATACATTGAACTCGCTATGTGAACATTGCACTATGTCCGCAATAAGCTCCTACAAATTCAAACAAGCCAGCCTAAAGAATGCAGAGTATCTCACAAATGTTCTAGATGGAATTGCAAACAATTTTGAATACACAACAGAATTTTATGACAGCAAATGCCTCTATGTGTCATTTAATACTAAAAATCTCACTAGCAAACAATATTATGATAACCAAAAAAGAGTTACCACTCCAAAAGCAGCCTTACGCAGATTCCAGGCACTAGAAAATACCAAAAAATTTAATTTAGATCAAATGATCCTTCGTAATATCAAAAAGGAAGAAAACAGTGAAAGTCATCAAACAAAAATTAAGAAAACTAGACATTACATTGATATCCCAACTAGTGAAATGTTGTTAGATAAGAACAATCGTAATTTATTAAGGTGTAAAGAATGTTTTAAAGAGTACCCAACAATTTGGAATTTAAGGAACCATTATATTAGAGTACATGCTCCAAAAGATTTCAAATGTCCCAAGTGCCCTAGAAAATATGGCTCCGCAGCATTCCTAGAAGCACACAAATCGGAGAGTCATGTCATGGCAGTTTGTAGTGAATGTGGAAAGACCTTTAGAAATAAACACACTCTAAAAATGCATGAAATGGGCCATCAATTAACATTGGTCTGCCCAGACTGTGGCAGAGTCTACAAAAATAAAGCAACATTCAAAAAACACATTCAGCTAAATGTTTGCGGGAAAGCGACAAGGGCACATCCATCTGAAGCTAAATATACATGTGACTATTGTAATAAAAAATACACACAAAAAGTTTCCCTGCGAGTTCATATACAGTATGAACATGGGAACTACAAATCTCATATTTGTGAATGGTGTGGGAAGAAATTCTGGGCCCAAAGTAGATTAAAAGCACACATTGTGAAACATACTAGAGAGAGAAACTTTTCTTGTTCAATTTGTGGAGGAAAATTCGTTACGAAAGAGTCACTTTTATACCACACTAGGACACACACTGGTGAGAAACCTTACAAATGTCCGCATTGTGACATCAGATTTCTCTCAGCTTCCCGCAGATCAGATCATATAAAACGTCATCATTTGGGAGCGACTCTAGAATGCGATATATGTCACACTAAATTCAATACTAGAACCTTTTTACTAAAACATAAGAAAACTCATATGAGATCTGTAAGTAAGAGTGATGAAGTAGACGTAATAACTGATGTTGACCAGTCCGGTACTGAAGATCAAACTGATTCCAAAAAGACTGTAAATGAATCTAAAACCAAAGACCTTTGGATATGTAAAGTTGAGGAAAACTCTATTCCGAGCTACCAAAAGTTGGCCAGCACCAGTGAAGTGGATTTGAATCAACTTACTCAACAAGTTTATGAGGATGATACAGAAGAAGCTAAAATCTATTTGGAAGTATCTGATGATACGGATGATTATATAAAGATCTTGGGTGTCTAATATTAAAATAGCCTTTAAAATTGCATGTTAATATAATATTGTTGTATATTAAAATAATTTAAGTGACATTTGTAAATGAGGTTGTGGACAATAGCTAGTTGAAATTGAAAATAGTATCGTATGGTGATATTAAATATTCGAATAAATTGAATTCCTCGTTGCTTTGTAGCAACTGTATATTTATTTTTAAAGCTTAAAAACTATATTTGTGTTATAAGAAATGATAAAAGCAATAAAAACTTGTATATTGTATGTCTGTATTATTATTTTATGTTGTAAATTAGTTATAAACGGACAGGTTTCTTATTGGACGACGTGCTCCATCGTAGACCGCATCATCGCTTACCACCAGGCGAGACCATCGAATATTAAAAAAAGGACATACCTATTTCACTCATACTATTTCTGATTTTGAAAATTGAAGCTCTATATTTAACTTACGTGTGCAAAATTGAATTGAATTTTTGGGTATTTGTTTGTACCTATCAAAAGTATTGTGATAGAATTTTGTCTGTTACTAGGCCGTGGCATATTATGAACAATTTGATGAAAGCTCTTTCAGTAGCATGAGAAGAAGTCACGTTTTTAGTGGCATTATTGAAAGTCTCCTCTTTCTACTACACATAACTGCAATTCTTTAGCCGCGTTAGCGTACATGGGGCCATTTGCCACATACATAGCAAAAATATAATCTCTTGCCCCCTATGTCCAAGGCAAAAATAAAGAATTAATGTGATTAAAATACTAGGTTCCCTTTTCAATAAAAAAAGCTCATCTCGTGACTTGTCAAATGAATTGTCAATGTCAAATATTCCGAGTCGGCAATCAGCTGTCAAATACGTCAAATTTGTACTGTTGTCGTTGTTTTTTTTGTAATTTTTCGGTAAACTGTGAAATGAATGTTGTAAAACAAATATTATTTATGTAAGGAAAAGCCTTAGCAGTAGAATACATACAAAATGACATTCCTTGAGGATACGTTGATAATATTAATTTCACAAGTAAGTCGCAAATAAATATTACCGGAGGTTATTTTGGACAGGGCAAGTTGAATTATTAAACGATTTATACTTATTTGCCTGTGGATAATAAGTCTAATTACTAACATTATTGTAGCCCGGCTTTTTAACACATTGTTTAAATTTTAGAAACACATACACATCAGTATCAATAAATACTTTTCCCAATTCAGCACTTTTAATTTTAGTCCATTGCTAATAGGACGAATTAGCATTAGTAGCACTGTAATTGTCAATATAAATAATTAAATAGTCACTGATTACAGTTCCATGGTTTCATTAGGCTATAATTGCTATAGCTTATGAATACAACTTGTAGCATGTTTTTATTAGGACTGAACTATTTGACAAATACATTACCTACATTATTATTAAATAAATACATTTTCTATCTATCCTTTTTTCAGATAGTTTTCTTCGTTGGAGGCTGGATATTCTTTGTTAAGCAATTATTTCGAGACTATGAAGTCCACCACCTGCTGGTTCAGCTTATATTCTCGGTCACCTTTGCACTAAGTTGCACAATGTTCGAGCTAATCATATTTGAAATCATTGACTATTTGAACTCCAGGTAAGAAGGTTTTAAAACAAGGGTATTTTATTTGTTTCTTATATAAGTATTTGATTGGTCGACGTTTGACCACTATTATCGCCTGGTGGTAAGCAATGATGCGGTCTATGATGGAACATGTCATAATTTTTTTAATTTAAAACACACAACATGTTATAATGTTACATGTCCTTTTGTTCTATGTCGGGTAGTACTGCCTGCCCCGCTACAAAATTTTTGTCTTATTTTAAGTCCCATGTTATAGGAACCAACCCTATTGACTTTGTGCTAGAGTTTATTTTGAGACTGAGAACATCACAATAAAGAATCATTCATCAGAATCATGTTGTCAAATTAGAGATTAAAAATTATATACAATGTTTCTGTTCCGATTCTTCAAATTAACCCATAGAATCCCAAGCGGTCACCGGTGACCGCTCTCCACTACCTATATTATAGACCTTATTTCCAATGCTTAAAGACTACTTTTGTATGAACAAATTTAGGGGATGAATTTCAACGGGTTAAGAAGAAAATGTGTTGTTTGATTTTTTTCTGAAGTCATAATTATGAAGTAACATTTAGATGGTAAGATTCAATTCGAAGAATGATTAAACTTTTGTCCCTAATTTCTAAAATATGTTCCATTTCAGCTCCAGATATTTTCACTGGAACTTGGGTCTGTACTCGTTACTGTTCATGGTGATAGCCTTGATACCATTCTACATTGCATATTTTTGTATCAGTAATATTAGATTTGGTGAGTAAAACTACTTATTGTTTCTGTATCATCTAATAATTAATGTATGAATGTTAATAACGACAAAATTTCGGTATTAAAGTTCGAATTTTGAATATATTTAATAGATTTTTAACTTTATGCCTTCATTATAAAGTTGAAAACCTATCAATTATAGATTTTCTTTCAATTTTTTAAGAATCAATTTGAATTTAGTTAATAAAGACATAACATCTGATTATGGCTGAATAGCCGATGGCAAATCGAAATTAAATAGTGTATAAAAAAAAAATTGAATTTAGAAGGTGTTTTGACTCATTTCTGGCTGACATCATCGAGAGTCCGAGAGTTACAATTTAGATTTCAATTATTCCTAATATTGAATCAAAACCATTATTTTGCGCAAAATGCATTCTTATGCGCAACTTGCGCAACAATGTTTTAATTAGATTGTTATTATTTTTGTTTGTTGCAGTCTCACAAAATATGATAAGGCCACTAACCATATTTGTTTGGTTTGTTTACTTATATTTCTTCTGGAAAATTGGCGACCCGTTCCCAATTTTGAGTCCAAAACAGGCAAGTAATTTTTTAAATTAATATACAGTGTAACATTACTTTAAATTTAAATTGAAATTTAAATTGTCTTATTCCAAAATTAGGTCATGTATATGTATCATGCTTGCACATAAAATTTTTTTTTTATGGCATAAGCCGGTAAACCAGCAGACGGATCACCTGATGATAAGCAATCGGCGCCGCCCATGGACACCTGGAACACCAGAGGCGTTACAAGTGCGTTACCGGCTTTTTGGGATTAGGAGTTTGAGGATCGTTGGAGATTCAGGGATTGGGGAAGGGGAGGGTAATTGGGCCTCCGGTAATGTCACTCACACGGCGAAACAGGACGCAAGCGTTGCTTCACCTCAGTTTTTTGTGAGGCCGTGGTATCACTCCGGTCGAGCCGTCCCATTCGTGCCGAAGCATGTCTCTCACGCTTTCAATATCATGTCAAAATACTAATTACATATAATGAACTTTTTTAGGGAATATTTTCAATAGAGCAAGGGGTATCCCGTATTGGAGTGATCGGAGTCACAGTGATGGCTCTCCTGTCCGGATTTGGTGCTGTCAACTATCCATATACTTCTATGGCTATATTTATAAGGTAACAATTGGCTAGTTTCATTCGTTTAAAATAAATTGTTTCAACTTTTCAATGCAATAAATAATTAAAATATAATCATACTCTCACCCATTCATTTGACAATATACCTACTTTTGTATTTTTTTTCGCTAATTTTATGGAAATAAGTATGCTATCTGACGCAGAAATATGATGACGTCATTAGTTGCGATTCAATACAAAATTCATAGAAAAGTATCGTTTTTGATATTTCAATATAAGTATTGAATTTGACTACTTGTCAACTACCATATTGTTTTGTAAGCTGAAAGTAGAAATTGTTTTAAACCATTACAAACATAGTTACTATGATTGCTACTGGATAAAGTATAGTTTAATTTGGTTATATGTATTTAGTCTCGTGACTTTTTTATTCAATGAGGTTACTCGACTACTTTAGAGCCAGTCCAAGGGCTCATAATCATGAATCCAGACTGTATTACTGTCCTTAAGGTTATTTTCTTTTTTGATCACTTTGACTGGATTTTAGTGTTACATTGTTCTCGCACAATCCAAATAGCAAAACTATGTAACTAGTAAATTGTATTGTGAACCTGATTGAAAAAGAGTAACCTATGGAGTTTCTTGCTCGTTCTTCTCCATAGGAATCTACACCTTGGAATGAGCAATAGCTTCACTTTAAATTTTTGTTTTTGTTGACGTTCAAAAGTGCCATTCTGGCCTAATTGAAATAAATGATTTTGACTTTGACTTTGACTTTGACTTTGAATAGCATCTGTTACAAATGACAATTGTTATTAAATTAGCCTTTTAAAATTAATTTCCTCATATTCACAGGCCAGTAACACAATCTGATGTCCTATCAATAGAGAAGAAACTCCTACAGAATATGGACATGATATTGGTGAAAAAGAAAAGGATAGCGCTAGCCGAAGCCAATAGTGTGGGAGCGAGACAACAATACAATATGTTGGACCAATCCAATGTTAAGAATAGAGGCGGTTTCTGGACCAATATTTTGTCCAGTGTTGGTAGTATTGCTAATCCTTTGGGACATGGGAGTGAAAGTGAGTAATTAACAATTATAATTAGTTAGTACAGTAGTGGGTTCGATTCCTTGTCTTCAATGTCTTGTCTGATATAATTACGATAGGCTCGCTTACACTTATGGAATATGGAACTCGAAATATAGTTAATGAAAACAAAATGTGCACCTCTACCTATCCTTTCGGGGATGAAAGGGTGTGACGTTATTGTTGTAATGGACGGTAACCTTATTTAATTCACTTTTGTGCCGCCAGGTGGCGCTCTCTCTTGTGTCCTTGTGCAATGCGCAATTAGTTATCATTAGTCAGTAGTAGTAGATTGAAATATTCTTCATAGTGACAAGGATTGAAAAAGGAATTTTACGCTGGTTTGGACTTGTAGAAAGGATGGATGAAAGTAGAGTAACGAAAGAAGTATACAGAGCAGATATGAATGGGGCCGTCGGTAGAGGGCGTCCTAGACGGACATATAGTGACCAGATTGGCGATATATTAAAGAAGGGCCAAATTAAAAGTACCCTTAGCCGACGAGCATGTATGAAAAGATTGATGACTGTTAATGAAGCGAAAGAGGTATGTAAGAATCGTAGTAATTGGTGTTCCTTAGTCTCTGCCTACCCCCATGGGAGACAGGCGTGAAGTTATGTATGTATGTATGTATGTATGTATGTATATTCTTAATTCTTCTTTTTCCAGACATACACCAACTTCGCCAAGAAATAGCAGGACTTGAGGAGTTGAGTCGCCAGCTGTTCTTAGAAGCTCATGATGCAAGAACTATGAGAGAGAAGATAGAATGGTCCAAGACCTTCCAGGGGAAATACTTCAATTTCCTCGGATATTTCTTCTCGCTGTACTGTGTTTGGAAGATTTTTATTGTAAGTGCTTAACTCGTCGAGTACCGGTTTTATAGACACAATTAAAGAACAATAGGTCGCGGTCACCGGTGACCGCTTGGTGTTTGACAGTTTAATTATTTATTTAGTTTAGTTTATTTATTCATATTGCACAATGTACCTACATATAATAGGAAGTATTACATACAACTAATTCAGTACATTACCCTGTTAGGGCGCAGCAATTTAAAACGTTACAAAATTTAATGTCAGTTGAAATTTATAACTATTACTTGGAGCTATATATACCAGATTGGCGATATATTAAAGAAGGGCCAAATTAAAAGTACCCTTAACCGACGAGCATGCATGAAAAGATTGATGACTGTTGATGAAGCGAAAGCGTATGTAGGAATCGTAGTAATTGGCGTTCCTTAGTCTCCGCCTACCCCCATGGGAGACAGGCGCGACCGCGTGAAGTTATGTATGTATGTATGTACTTGGAGCTATAATATATATACCTATATATTTATTTATTTTAAGTGTGCTTATTTGTTGATTTTAAGTAGAAAAAAAAATTCAGAATAATCCATAAAACATGCGTCGTTGACTGGTTCATTAGTCGATTGGTTGTTGAGAGCTGAGCAAGGGGTCTTGCGTTCAATTCCCGGGTCGGGCATAGTATTGTTAAGCTTCTCCTGGTTTTCTGAAAATTCTCAGTAATAGTATGGAATGTCTGGATATGGGAATAGGTTTATCCCCTGTAATATAGGATTTATAATGTAACTGGTGATAATTCTGCATTTCTACAATTTAAAATTATAAATTATTACCCGCGGCTTCGCTCGCGTCACAAAAGGATAAAAAGCCAATGTGACATATACCAATACTTTTGTTTTTCCTCGGGAATATAATTTTTTTCCGGGATAAAAAGTACTCTATTATTTAATCCGGACTTCGAACTGTACATCTGCAAAAATTCAAAGCAATCGGTTTAGTAGTTACGGCGTCAAAATGGTACAAACAAACAAACTCACTTTCCCATTTATAATATTACTAAAGACTAAGGATTATTTAACTTTGACTGCCTCGTTGGCCGAGTGGTCGCAATTGCGACTGCCGGGTAAGGGGTCTCGGGTTCGATTCCCGGGTCGGGCAAAGTATTACTGGGTTTTTAAAAAAAATCTCAGTAGTAGCACGGAGTCTGGAACTGTGCCCGGTATATGGCAATAGGCTCACCCCCTATTACATGGGACTCATAACATAAATAGTGAAAAGTAGGTGTTACATTGTACTTACAGTGGTATAATGTGCACCTCTGCCTACCCCTTCGAGGATAAAAGGCGTGATGTTATGTAAGGATTATAACTATAATTTTCTTCCAGTCTACAATAAACATAGTATTCGACCGTGTGGGCAAGAAGGACCCAGTGACTCGTGGGCTTGAGATAGTGGTCCACTGGCTCGGTTGGAACATAGATGTCGCCTTCTGGTCGCAACATGTCTCCTTCATACTGGTTGGATGTATTGTACTGACTAGTATTCGAGGATTACTGCTTACGTTAACTAAGGTAAGATTGGAATATTATGTTGTTTTTATTAATGTTAGCGAAAGTTTTGAATTTAAACTTTATTACTATGCTGTAAGATTCAAAGTCTATTTAAAGGAATGGGAGTAGATTAATATGTTAAAATATTAGCATAAACTAACTAAACTGTGCGGAAATTGTTAAAAAAATTGCGGTTTTAATTGTGTGTCATTAAATTTGTCTTGTTTATCTTCAAGATTTAATGAAGTTGGTTTATTTTGTTGTAATAAATATTCTCTTATATTCTTCCATGTTTTAAAAAAATGAAAACGAATTTCATTACTAAAATTACTTGTACTTATTTCAGTTCTTCTACAAAATATCATCATCGAAATCGTCGAACATAATCGTGCTAATACTCGCTCAAATAATGGGAATGTACTTCTGTTCCTCCGTTCTTCTGATGAGGATGAACATGCCTCCAGAATACCGCATCATCATCACCCAAGTCCTAGGTGATCTGCAGTTCAACTTCTACCATCGATGGTTTGATGTCATCTTTCTAGTAAGTGCTTTAACTAGTATATTTACGTTATATTTAGCGCATAAGCAACCGTCAGTAAACTAAGTAATTAATAATGACAGTTGCGCTATTTGCGCAAAATGTAACATTTTTGCGCAATTTGTGTAAAAAGTTTTGCGCGACTGTTTTTTGCAGTGTACAGTGATTTGTTATTTTTATGTTGTTCTGGCTTGTACAAATTATGAATTTTAAAGTTTGACAGGGCCTAATACTTAAGTGAAACGAACTTTAATAATTATGCCAGGATAATGCATTATGTTGAGGCTAACGTTCTACAACAATATGACTTGAGTTTCAGAAAAATCAACTTTATAATGTGTGAAATAAGATGTAGTTTCCATGTGTGCGTTGCGAACACAAATTGTCATAGTTGTTAGACCTCAATATAATTCATTTCTATTGTATTTGAGAACGATACCAAAATTATGAAGTATTTTTATACTATAAATGGATTAGTATGGGCTATATTCTTATGTATTGTTTAATAAACATGTATTTATTTTAAAACTCAGTCATTGCACGGAGTCTTAATTGTGTCCAATGTTTGTTTTACACAGTAAACTTTAAGTACACTTATATCCAAATACTGAAACGCTACTCAATTTTAAATAGCATTAAGTATAGTTCTGCCACTTTTTTTAAGCGCGGAAGAGCGTCGAATTACTTCTCCCGCTTGGGTGAGGCGGGAGGGAGTGTCAGACTCTTACTGACTAAAAACCACCCTGTTCCTACTCATGCACTTCGATCCGGAGCCCCGGCAACCCGTTAGGTTCTCCGCGGCTTCGTATTGGCACCAGCCCTATTGGGCCTTGGAAGAATTTGTAGTGAACTACACGATCTCCGGCCACCGTAAGCGCGGGCCTGCGGACGGCGCACATGGGTCGCCACCCGACCAGAACCAGATCCGAGCGTACAGCGCGTCGCGTTCCGCGCGCGCCTCAAAGAGCCATCGGACCACCACGGATAGGGCCCAATAGGGCTGATGCCGATACGGAGTCGCGGAGAACCTAACGGGTTGCCGGGCTCCGGCTCGAAGTGCAGGAGTAGGAACGGGGTGGTTTTTAGTCTAGTCAGTCAGTCAGTCTGACACTCCCTCCCGCCTCACCCAGGCGGGAGAAATGATTCGATGATTTTCCCCCCTTAAAACAAAAAAAGTGGCACAACTATACTTAATGCGACTTTTAGGGAACAGAGAGTATAGTTCCCTAAGATCGGAAAAGGAGGATCCTCCGACCAGGCGAGGTGATCGTGCCTGGCGGGCTTTCTGCCCAACAGTTGTTCGTTGGGATTTTCTATCCGTGTTTATTCGCTTGTAAACTTTGCATGTGCGATGTAGGATTATTGTGACGTCATCCGTTGACATGTGACATGCGTCGCCACAGACTTAAAATTGAGTAGCCTTTCAGTATTTAAGCGTTAAACACACAAAGCAATATAATTAGGTTAACTTCGAAATTTTAAAAGAGATTTCTATGATTTTTTGGCTTGTTTATATTTCGATATGAAATTATTACTTTCGATTATACTGGCTTTGTGTAATAAAGAAAAAATCTTATGTACATAAACAATGTATCTATATGTAAATATTATGTTTGTATTTTGAGCTTTGATTGCTTCGTTGGCGGAGTGGTCGCAAGTGCGACTGCGGCAAGGGGTTTCGGGTTCGATTCCCGGGTTGGGTCGGGCAAAATATTACTGGGTTTTTTTATAAAATTCTCAGTAGTAGGACGAAGTCTGGAATTGTGCCCGGTATATGGCAATACGCTCACCCCATTACGTGGGACTAATAACATAAATAGTGAAAAGTGTATGTTATGTGGAGAGTGGTGAAAACGAGCATTTAAATGGCGTTAATAGTGTGTAAAGTCCGATGACTGATACGTTACGTTAACGATTATGTGCATGCCCGACCAATTTCGAGCTATACCGGGACCCTACTTAGTATGTATTCATGGACTTTATATTAATGAGTATGTTCTAACGATTCTAAATACAATGCCTATGTGTATGTTACATAAGTTTCTGCAGTCCTAATTATTTTTTATATAGTAATGCAATTAGTATGTCACCTTTATAAAAATTACCAACAGATGTTACTATAAGCCATTACGTCATTGAATGTACGATAAAGGAGTTCGAAAATATCTGATAAAGCGTTAAAAACTTACCTAGTTCTATGGATATAAAGTTGAAAATCCAAGAAAACAATTATCAAATTGGATATTTAGATTTTCATCTTTATGCTTTTGATATTGGGTCGAAAATCCAATAAAACAATAGTCGAATTGGAGAAGGGTTGTATATAGATATGTATAAAGTATATTATTTTCCAATTCCTTTGTCAATATTATGTTACATGTAGACCTAAGTTCCATAAAAAGGCGAAATAAATAAACTTTGTCATTATGGGCGCCGGCAGAAGTGTGTAAAGTGCAATTCACATCCTCTGACAACAGAGAATATAAAAATCTGTTTTATCTTTCAAGTTTTAAACAGAGATTCCTAGAAAATCTCCTTAGGCTTTGAGATACAGATCTTTTTATCTGAGTCCTTACCCTGACTGAAATAAAGAAAATTATGTATCCCCCTGTCTTCTACAGAGGCAAGTAGAAGGTCGCAGTGAGACTGTAGTATAGATTAGGACTGATCATTTCCTAGTCCGATTGAAAATCTTGCAATATCTCAAAAACTAGAGGTCCTAGCTAAAAAAAAACAAATTTTCGTTACTCCTGTGGCGACACATGGTACATGTCAACGGATGACGTCACAAAAAACCCTACACCGCACATGCAAAGTTTACAAGCAAATTAACACGGATAGAAAATTTCAACGAACAACTGTTGGGCAGAAAGCCCGCCAGGCACGATCACCTCGCCTGGTCGGAGGATCCTCCTTTTCCGATCTTAGGGAACTTTACTACTCTACTACTTTAGGACTCTTTGGAAAAGGATGACGGACGAAAATTTATGAGAACTGTACCTTCCGACCAATAATAATCAAACGTATGTCGTTAGAAATCTCTTCTCATGAATATCATTTGTTATTATGGAGGCTAGTTTCAATTCGCTGTGGAGAAAATGTTATAGTTGTGTTATTAGTCGGTAGGTGCATTCTGTCCGATTCGATGTTGTACGCAACACAAAACTTGTCAACGTATCTATGAATAGTTATTGACCTTAGGGCTGGTCTAGGGGTCCTAATTATATAGTAATAGATATTTTGAATACTAGAGATTTTTGATAGACTTGTTTTAAACTGTCAAACATCGCGAGGACACCGGTGACCGCAACCTATTGTTCTTTAATTGTGTCTATAATGACGGTACTCAAAGGGTTCAATAACAGAGTGTAAATTCGTTTCTGGTTTCCTTTTATTAATGCAACATCAGCCTTGAGCGATTGATTACAACTATTGTTACATAAAAGACACATTAAATACCTTACTTTTATGAAAATAACACTTGTTTTTGACTGTCACCTGTCGTTTTCGGGAGCGTTAGGTTTACACTTTGTATATAATTATGTGCATATCTTTAAAAGTAATTCTGGCGGCGCCCATGTTTGTTGTTGTATTTTTACTGTTGTGAGTTAACAAGTACCTAACCTAAACCTTGTTTAATTATATTTTTTTATTTTGTCATATTGGTTTCCATGATTATGTGACCCCTTGAGAAAAGCCAGCTAAGTTATTGTATGCAGGTATGAAAATAAAGATTGATTCAGTACAGACTCAGTAATCATTGATTGCCTGAGCTAACCAAAACGTTGCCCCACACTAGGATTTACTCTTGTGTCGTAGGTGCGTTTACAAACATACAAGTTCATGTACACATGACACCCAGGCCCGAAACAACAATCGGTGGATCACACAAAGAGTTGCTCCGTGCGGGAATCGAACCCGCGACACGTTGCGCGGCAGCCAGTAGCCCAACCACCAAACCAACCGTGCAACCAAAAATTATAATAGACTAATTGTCCCTGCAAAATTCCTACTGCCTCTAATCCTTTTTCTCATATTTTAAACCTTTCCTGGACTTCTACAAATAATTCAAGACCAAAATTAGCCATATCGGTTCAGCCGTTCTCGAGTTTTAGCGAGACTAATGAACGGAAGTGCAAGTATGAGAGAGCCATGCTTCAGCATGAATGGGCTGGCTCGACCGGAGCGATATCACGGTCGAGCAGAAAACTGACGTGAAACAACGCTTGCGTTGTGTTTCGTCGGGTAAGTGAGGTTACCGGAGGCCTAATTAGCCCTTCCTCGTCTCCAATCCCTGAATCCCCAACAATCCTCAATTTCCTAATCCCCAAAAGGCCGGTAACGCACTTGTAGCGGCTCTGGTGTTCATGGGCGGCGCTGATTGCTTACCACCAGGTGATCCATTTGCTCGTTTGCCGGCTTGACCCAAAATGGAAATTCATTTTTATTTATATAGATTTAAATAGACAGCATAGTTGCAAGTTAGTGTAACACAATGGTTACTGTTTCTGTTCTGAAAAAAATCTTTATTTTCTTACAAGCCATGCCATAGCTTAGCTGACTATTAAACATAGTTTATTAATTTCGCCTCCAGTTTTAAAGACTGACAATGTAAATATAAGGGAAATAAATTAAACATCGGAAATACAATTAAATAGTTTTATTTAACAATTCTTTAATTATTTACCTTATACATATTATTATATCGAAATAGTTAAAAATAGAAAAGTTTACATGGAAAGGCCACCTTATGTTAGACTTATTTAAAGATATAGATAAAACTGTTTGTCTGTTTGTAAAGTTATATTTAGGATTTTCGACGAGAAATCGCAAGAATAATAAAATGTTTGTTGAAGCTATTTTTTTCAAGGAAAATTTCTCAATTAAAGACTCGAATTTTTGTTTTAATTTCCTCTGTAATCCACAACCGTAATTCTTTATCGTACATACATAGATTATATAAACGAAAACACGCCATGTTTATTTAAACATAAATATGAAGAAAAAATACAGATATATTTACAAAATTATTGTATTGACGTGTAAGAAACTTGCAATAGATTATTTCAATTCATTGGTGTTCAGTTTGAGCAATAAATTTGAAATTGCTACGTTTAAGCGATATTGTTTATGGTGTAGTTGTCTATTCTCCCATTAGATCTTCATACTGTTTCCTGAAGCAGTCTCCGACAGGGAAGAAGTCCCAGCATCGTTGCGTGTACATATTCCATACATACGTTTCTTGACCTGGAGAAAGTATTAAGTAATTATTAATAATTTTATATAACAAGGAAATAAGTAATAAGATTGCTGTCTTGGTCGAGTAATCGAATATGATTGTGGAGCAAGGCGTCTCAGGATAGGTTCACGAGGAAGCCAATGTTTTTTCATTTCTTCTTTATATTTGTTGGATGTGATGACATTTTTTACCTAAATTGACATTAATTAAATTGACAATATAATAAAATGAATGATTGATAATGCAGTGTTATAATGTAATAAATTAAATTAAATTAATTAAGAATATACATATATATTGAATAATAATAAACTGTAAATGTATGGACCCAATATGTCTGAAATAAATTTATTTTATTTTTATTTATTTATTGATTTTTAACAATTTCTCATTTGTCTGGACTCCAGGCACAAATCAGACAGACAGACAGACGGTAGTCATAACGTTTTCAAAAATATCAAAGAAGGGATTGGGAAAAGTGATTTAGTTGTCAGCTTGAGTGTGTATTTGTAAACAGCATTCTACGACTTGCCGATGTAGAAAAATTATTTGTTAATGATAAAATTTACAAAAAAAAATGCTTTTTAATCGGGAATCAAACCTATCAACTGCCTCGTTGGCCGAGTGGCCGCAAGTGCGATCCTTATCGCACTTCGACACGCGAATTGAACCCAAGACCCCTTGGTCTTGGGTTCAATTCGCGTGTCGGACAAAGTATTATTAAGGTTTTTAAAAAAAATTCTCAGTAGTAGCACGGAGTCTGGAATTGTGCCTGATAAATGCCAATAGGATCACCCCTATTACATGGGACTCATAACATAAATAGTGAAAAGTGGGTGTTACATTGTACAGTGGCATTAAGTGCCCATGTGAACATTGCACCTCTGCCTATCCCTTCGGGGATAAAACAAAACACTAATTAAAAAGTAATCAATATCATACCTGTATATTCCGTATCGGGCTTATTAATGAGATGCATAAGGAAGAACATGTAGTTCGCTAGATTATGCTCTCTCTGGACGTGAGTGTCGAACCCGTGCGGCACCTGTGGACAACGGGAACATTAACCACTGAACTATGATAGTGATAGACACAAAAACACAATAACATTTTTTTAAATTTAATATCATATATTCCTGATGTTTTTTTATAGGTTCTTGGTTGGTATTTTATTTCATTTAATAAAATTATAATTATCAGCTCTATTATTTAACACAAAAGCCACTCAGTTTCGTTATCCGGCAATGGTACAGTTGTTCCAAAAGATAATCATACTCGCAACACGTTTTGCCTAGGCACTGCGCTATACGGCAATAAAAAAATTGAAAAGTAAACTACACGAAATCATTTATGAGCCCCAATGTAGCTCGAAAGTAGTTGAACATCCTCGAAAATTCACCACAATTATTTTACAATACAAAACATTTATGTTTTAACTTACTTTATCAAAATAGTCTTTATTAATGCCACATATGAAGCAGTTGGACTCCATGTCTTCCTTCACCGACTCCAACTGGTCACGCAGCTCACCGAACGCGTCGATGATCAAACCTGGAATAACATACAACAGTGTTATTCAACATTGAACTTTATGATGAGGCAATAGAGTTTAATTTATAGGTATTTAATTTTGAAGTTGAACTTCAGGATTGGTTCATTTCAAAAAGAGTCCAAATAGAAGGGCTATGGAAAACTGAAGTTTAAAGACATTCAAGTTTCTTTTAAACGTTGCTCTACATTGGCACTTCCTCCTGTGTCCTGGGTGTGTTTACAAATGTACAATCAAAGGTCAAAAGTCCACTGCCAACGTGAGTGATGTTCACACGGCAATGCGTTAGTAATTTCATATTAATGTGTACGCATAAACACACCCACGCGTACGTACACGGATAAAAATATGCGTGCGCATGTATGTATAAGCGCTGCAGCGCAACCGATAGTAGTCTTACGGTGGCAGTCGACTTTTGATCTTTGACCGTACAATTTCCTGGAAAGCTAATTTATTGATTACACAAAGAATTCCTCCAGTCAGTTTAATATAGAGAGCAGGCAAAGATGACCATAAAAGTTAAATATTTTTTATTAATGTGTTCATCTTTAAACATTGTGATAGCAAGTTGTACACGAGGTGCAGTGGACTATCACCGGCTATGGGTTCGTACACAAAGCTACGATGGGAATTGCTGCGATGCGATTTCGTGCGACAAGGCGTCTCCCAGGGTGACCATTCCTTCGACGACCGTCAACCGTACTAAACGTATTTTAAATTGAAAACTAGGTCGTGGCATGGATCGTAAAAAGAAGTGTGCACTTCTGTTATTGCTTAGGAGATACAGGAAAAAGAAACAAAGAAGATTTTGTGAAGACAAGATTTTGATCCGCGATGCGAATCAATCCGCAAGTTCTTGCGATGCGTAGAGGGAGCTCGCACATTTTTGCGATGCGACGTCGCATCGCAGTTTTGTGTACGAGCCCTATTGAAGATTGATAATGTCACAACGTACCCTGCAGAATAGCCAGCAGGATGACGATGATGAAGAAGAAGAATGTGATGTCGAATATGATGCGGTAGACCTCGGAGTCGTCTCCATCGGGCGGCTCCAGCTCGTCACCTATACCGCCGCCCGCTCGCACGCCTTTGTACAGGTTGAAAACGAAGCACTGGGGAGTTGAAAGAAGGACAAATTAATTACATTGAAAATAATCATAACTGTTACATGTATGTTTAGTCTGTATCATCACTAATTAGTAAGTAGTGGCCCCCTCACTATAATGTGTTATATAAGGTAGGACACTTGTCATTAACGCCGCTGTCTACCTGTCATAGTCTGGTGTGTGTACACGTCGTGCGCTCTGCACATTATTGTAATAAATCCAAGTAAAATAAATCCGTCTATAATTAATAAATCCACCAACATAACAATAACTAATGTTTAAATACTCAACCTGTCACTGCATATTCATTGATATACAAAAATAAAGACTTGAAGTTACCTCATGGATACTAAGATAAGCGAAACTTGATAGTATTATCTATATATTATTTAAAAATGAATTTCCGTTCGTTAGACTCGCTAATATGGCTAATTTTGGTCTTGAATGACTTGTGGAAGTCCAGGGTAGGGCTAAAAGAGGAGGAAAAGAAGCCGTACGAAGTTTGCCGGGGTCGGCTAGTTATAAAATAATGAATATTACTTATAACTGACAATGACACTATTATAACTGACAATATTATAATACAATATTATCTATTTATAATGACTGTAATGTTATACTATTTAATTGAAATAAATAAATAAATCTTATACTATTATATAAAGCGGAAGAGTTTGTTTTTTTGTTTGTTTGTTTGAATGCGCTAATATCCGTAAGTACAAGACTGATTTGAATAATTGTTTTTGTGTCGGATAGCGCATTTATCGAGGATGGCTATAGGCTATAAAACATCACGCTACGATCAATAGGAACTGACCAGAGCGTGTGAAACCGCGCGGAAATAGCTGATAATAATAAAAATGACTTACCGTAAGCATATCATGGCAGTTCCTATTGACCTCGTCGTCCTCCTCCTGCACGTAGAACTTGCGGAAGAAGTTGAACGCTATCACGGTGTAGATATACACTATGATGGTAAGCAGCATCACCGTCAGGACCAGCTGGGGAGATATAAAACAAATTGTATGAGACTTTTTTGCAGGTTAATTGTGTTTTTTAACCGATTTCACAAAGAAATGAAGTCTTTTTTTATACGATATACGTCGACGTTTGACCACTATTTCGCCTGATGGTAAGCGATGATGTGGCCGACGATGTTCACTCGGGACTTGAAGACACCCAAGTCATATTTGACGGGAAACACAGATTCTGGCAAAGAATTCCATTCCTTAGCGGTTCGCATGAGGAAGCTTGACGCGAAACGCTTCGTTCGAATGGGTGGAATGTCCACCATATAAGGGTGGCGTCCCGCCGTTCGTCTGGTGGTACGGTGGTGAAATGGACTAGGGGGAATAAGTTTGTGCAATTCCCACGCACGCTTACCGAAATGTATTTGATAGAAGACCGAAAGGGTTGCGACTTTGCGTCGTGTAAAAAAGGAGGTTCTCAGTTAGATCTGTATGTATGTATGTTCGTGCGCGAATATCTCGCGATTGGCTGAACCGATTTTGATTCGGTTTCAGAAAACTGTTTGTTACACTTAGGAAAAGGTTTTGAGTATATTTAATGAATCGATTTAAAAAAAAAGTGAGGATTAAAATAGGGTTTTTTTTAACGTAGTTTATAAAATAATTGTTCTATAATTATCTTAAATTCAAGGTAATTGGTAGATACGTTGGTTAAGGTTAATACAGTTCAATTAAATATAGGCGTGGATCAGCAGAGGGTATGGTGCCCCAAGCTTCCGGCTGACACAGATCCTTTCCGGACACGGCTGCTTCGGAAAGTACTTGTGTCGTATAGGCCGGGAGCAGACGTCGGCGTGTCATCACTGTAATGACAATTTGGAGGATACGGCGCGGCATACCCTCGAAGAGTGCTCTACATGGGCAGAGCTGCGTCGTGAACTCATTACAGTGCTCGGAGGGAATGATCTCTCATTGCCGACCGTAGTGCGAGCTATGGTAGACAGTGAGAGTGCATGGGATGGAGTCGCTTCCTTCTGTGAACGTGTCATGTTGGCAAAGGAGGCGGCTGAAAGGGAGAGGGAGGCGTCCAGCTCTCTCCCTTCCCGCCATAGACGCGCCGGCCGTCAACGCCGTGAGGCGATAGCTGATCTGCGACCTCCATAGGCGAGACCTGCGGGCGACTGATTAGGGGAGTCAGTCGTCCGCTGTATGGGCTGGAGTAGGCGTTAGCGGTGTGTTCACGCGCGCCACTCGAGGAAGGAAATCGCAGCTTTTGAGGGCTGCTACGTGGTGGGACCTGCCACAATTTAGTGGTAGGTCGAGGCCTGCCGGGTGCGGTGAATCCGCAAGGGCGTCCCGGGTCACGGCCACAGGCAGAGGAGGAACACCGCGGTGGTTTTAGCCGGTAAGAGTCCGGCACACCCCCCCGTCGTCCCCACGGCGTGGGAAGTCCATGAGGATTTCCATCGCGTTATAAAAAAAAAAAAAGTTCAATTAAATATGTATTAACTAACATGTTCTGCAAGCTAACTTAAGATACTAACTACTTTTTAATTTCATTTTCTCATAAATGAATTTAATATCTGTTCCAATTCGCATCAAAATAGGTACAGCATTTTATGTGTTTTAAACATAGGTACTTAGTAAATTTATTTATATTTTTTGATATGTATAAGATATTTCATCAATAATAATTAAAACACAATAAATTACCTGTTTTCCATTATGCGTGACGGACTGTAGAATGGTTCTCAAAGTTTTGAATCCAACAGCGACATCTAGTAGATGAGCCGCGAAGAAGAAGTTGTTGAAGTTGCCCATCACGGAGAATGAGAAGTACCATAGAGAATAGAGGAAGGAGTTGTCTGTGATCGTCACTCCCGCCTTCCACACTTGGTAACGCCAGTCTATATTGATTATGCTGCGAAAAGAAAATTGTTAAGGTAAGATTTGAAATTAAAGTTTTTATAATAAGACTAGCTTTTACCCGCGGCTTCGCTCGCGTCACAAAAGGATAAAAAGTAACCTATGTGACTATCCATCCCTTCAACTACCTTCAGTTAAAAAATCACGTTAATTAGTACCTCCGTTCTGCCGTTTAAGACAGGCAAACAAACAAATAGCTTTCCGCTCGCGTGGAATTCGGTTATATCGCGCTATTTAGATTTTTCCAACAGACTGGTTTTAAATGACATACAACGCCATCTATACCAGTACATACAGCGCCATCTATACCAATACTTTTGTTTTTCCTCGGAAATATCAAATTTTTCCAGGATAAAAAGTACTCTATTATTTAACCCGGACTTCTAACTTTACGTCTGCAAAAATTCAAAGCAATCGGTTTAGAAGTTACGGCGTGAAAGCGGAACAAACAAACAAACTCACTTTCCGATTTATAATATAAGTAAGGAATAAGAATATAGGACTTTTGCCTGGAGTTAATGTAGATTTTTCACTTGTGTGGAGGAGCGATGCTTCGGCACGAATGGGTCGGCTCGACCGGAGTGATACCACGGCGGAGCAGAAAACTGACGTGAAGCAGATGAAGTGTTTCGTTATGTGAGTGAGGTTACCGGATTGCCAATTAAAGGCATTTAGTCAGCAGTTGGCACTGCGGTGTGATGTGATATTGATGTGATGTGATGTGATGTGATGTGATGTGATATTGATGTGATGTGATGTGTTACTTACTAATGAATCAGTCCCTTGCTGCCTTCTTCTTCTTGAGCAGAGAAGGAAGTCTTCTCCATGCCCAGCATGTTGGATATGGAATCGAAGTCATAAGTCTCTGAGTACTTGGCACGAACCTTCTTCTTCACGAACTTATCCCAATAGTTCACCGGGAACGATCTGATAGAATAATAATACGATAGGTTTAATAAAGAACATATAACATAATATCACGCCTTTTATCCCCGAAGGGGTAGGTTAGTGACAGGGTTAGTTAGAGGTGCACATTATACCACTGTACAATGTAACACTCACTTTTCACTATTTATGTTATAAGAATAATAACGTTTATTTGCACGAAGTATGGTAATGAGTCCTATATAATAGGGGGGGGGGGGGGGTGAGCCTATTGTCGTATACCGGGCATAATTCCAGACTCCGTGTTACTACTGAGAATATTTGAAAACCCAGTAATACTTTGCCTGACCCGGGAATCGAATCCGAGACACATAGCCCGGCAGTCGGTTTTATTAAAGAAATGAAAATAAAAATCACTGTATAATCAACATTATGTTTTACCTATTATTTGTTGTAAGTATTCCAATCATTCTTAACATCCCAAAATATTAAGATGTGAATTTTGACAAAATTAAATGGTGAAGATTGAAAAAAATATTATTACGTTTTTGGCTTATTCACTAATTTATTTAAAGAAGAACTCGATTAGTTTCAAGCCATGCTAGAGGCTCATATTCATGTGGGATTCGAACCCAACAGCTAACAGCGTCACGTCGCCGCTGCCACGCCGACACCACAAATAGAACCGTGCGCGCGCGGCCCGGCGGGGGGCGCCGCCCGCACCGCGCGGCTGCGACAGTCGCCGCGTCGCGGGGCGCTAAGTGCTGCTCATGATATGAGCCTCTAGCATGGCTTGAAACTAGTCGACTTCTGACTCAGATAATTACGTGAGTCGAACAACATAACTAGTATATCTCATGAAAGTAATATAATAAATATTGTTTTTATAATAACTATCGTGAGACATACTAAATTAAGTAAAATCGCGGGTTACTCACGTGAATATACTGAGAAAAGTGAGCTGCGCGACGTCGCCGCGACCGCGCACGCTACTCATGAGGAAGAACCCCTCTGTGGTTCGAAACTAGTAGAGCTTTTCTCAGTATATTCACGTGAGTAACCCGCGATTTTAATTAATATAAATATTGAAAAATTTGCAATAAATTCTTCAAATAACGAAAACGAATAAATGTAGATATTAATTTTAACTTTCTTTTTGAACCATACTTTAAATCTTTTCGAGTTTAAATCTTTCACATCACGAATTAAATATTGTTTTCTTCGAAAAAGTTTTTGAATATTACGTAACAAATTTGCATATTCTCCAACTAATTTTTATACAAAAATAAGATGTATCTCTCTCTCATACACATCCACCTTTCCATCTTCTCCTTCTCTTTCTTTCTAAAACTTGATAAATAACTACTAACTTGGCAGATATAACGAGTTTATCCCAGTGGCTCTTGAGGTCGTCGTCCTCTGGTTGCTCAGCGATGTAAAGACCATCAAACTCCAGCTTACGAGCGATCTCCTTCTCACGCTTGAAGATAGCCAGTGGCACCTGGAAGTATTATGAATGATTTTAATATTAGTTTATTTCTGTTTAGTAGAGAGAATGTTAGTGTGAATGTGCTCACCATTAAGGGACCTTTGATTCGATTTGACGTTCAAAATTGCCCTTCTGGTCTATTTAAAATAAATGATTTTGACTTTGACTTTGATTTTGTAGTCCGCTAAAGTGATTTCTGAAATTCTTAGTGAATAATAAATGTACGTATTGGCGGCAATAGGTTAGCCAATAATTATAGTGTACTACAATTAAAAAGACTTAGCTAAAGTAGTAGGTTTAGGTTTAGAATATCTTTATTTCTCATAAAGAATCACATACATAATTCACTTACTGAGAAACAATATTTCATACAAAAGTAAACAATTTAGAGTGCACAGTAGTACGTACATATAAACAAAAACAATACAATAGTAACAGAAAAACATAACATAACATCACGTCTTTTATCCCGGAAGGGGTAGGCCGAGTGGTCGCACGTGCGACTGCCGGGCAAGGGGTCTCGGGTTTGATTCCCGGGTCAGGCAATGTATTACTAGGTTTATAAAAATCTCAGTAGTAGCACGGAGCCTGGAATTGTGCCCGGTATATGGCAATAGGCTCACCCCCTATTACATGAGACTCATAACATAAATAGTGAAAAGTGGGTGTTACATTGTACAGTGACATATACACCCTAATACTGAAATGCTATTCAATTTAAAGTTGTGCTTAAATATCGTGCCATCTCTGTCATTTTACTAAGAACTTATAGTGACAGAACTATACTTGAGCGCGACTTAAAATTGAGTAACAGTATTAGGGCATAAGTGCCGTAATGTGCACGTCTGCCTACCCCTTCGGGGATAAAAAGGCGTGATGTTATGTTGTATCATAAAACTTACCTTAAGATGGTAATACCCAATGAGTATAGCCAGCGACACGATGGAGTGCAGTACGGCGGCCACTTTGATGACATGCTCCATGTAAAAGAAGTCCTCGTCTATATGAACCACTTCTAAAGCATCGTCGTCTTCACCTGATTCACCGCTACCACCTATGAAAAGGATATAGTTTCATTTATTGTTTGTTTGTTTTTAAAAAACGTTGCCCCACACTAGTATTTCCTCCTGTGTCGTGGGTGCATTTACAAACATATAAGTTCACAATCACATGACACCCAGACCCGGATCAACAATTTGTGGATCACACAAAGTGTTGTTCCGTGCGGGAATCGAACCCGCGACACGTTGCACGGCAGCCGGTTGCCCAGCCACCGCACCAACCGTGCAGTCATTTATAGTTATAATGGAATATAAGTTTATTGGAATTTGAGTTTAATGTTCAAAATGTTAAGGTTGAAAATTGAACGAAACCTTCGCTTTTTAGTTATCTTAGGGAGCATTTTTTATTTTTACATAAATAAAACTTGTGTACCATCTCCACTTCCAGATCCCGAGCCCGATCCAGATCCAGCGATGATATCGCCCAGACCAGAACCCTCGCCACCTTCCGCGTCCAACGTAGACACCTGCGTAATCATCAAAATTAGTTAGTCTCCTTATTTCTCTTACTTTTTTATATACCACGACGTTGTCAAAAAAGCACACAGCCCACCTGATGGTAAGCTGTTACCGTGGCCTATGTACGCCTGCAACACTTGAGGCATTACATGCGTCTTGCCAACCCTTAAAAAACCTATTCACTGCCCTCTTGAAGAACCCCATGTTGTAGCGCACTGGGAAAACCACGGCAGGGAGCTCATTCCACAATCGGAGGGTCCGTGGGAGAAAATTCCTCTGAAACCGAACTGTACGGGACCATTTTGGCTCCAATGAGTGAACCCCCCGTCGATGGCGAGCGGTGCGATGATAAAAAGTGGCCGTGGGCATCATATCAAATAATTCCGGTAGTCTTATTCGCTACTTTCTGTCTAATCTGTTTTCTAATATTGTTGTTAATATTCTCTTTTCTGACTTCATTAATATTCATATTCATTTATTTGCATACCATAAAGTTGAATAAGGTGTTACAATAGGCTTAAAGCTAAGTACATTAATTATGGAGTCCGTAAAAGCACAGCAACATTTGATAAAGTGAAGTTAAGATTTCTAAAATAAAGTTGTCTTTTAACCGACTTCAAAAAGAGGAGTAGGTTCTCAATTCGACCGTATATATATTTTTTTATCATTAATACCTATTCATCAAAATGTAACTGTATATTTAATTTAAACTAAATAAAGTCAAAAATAAAATAATTAGAAAAAATACTTTCTAATTTAATTGGGTACTTGCCAAGTACCCAATTCCATAACTTTAATTAATACACAATAATATGATTTAATTAAAGTAGGTAAAACTATGTGCACAAATACAATATACATATAAAGTATAATTTTTACTTTCGTAACAAGTATATAGACTGCCTCGATGGCCGTGTGGTCGCAAGTGCGACTGCCGGGCAAGGGGTCTCGGGTTCGATTCCCGGGTAGGGCAAAGTATTACTGGGTTTTAAAAAAAATCTCAGTAGTAGCACGGAGTCTGGAAATGTGCCTGGTATATGGCAATAGGGTCATCCCCTATTACATGGGACTCATAACATAAATAGTGAAAAGTGGGTGTTACTTCTGTGTGCACCTCTGCCTACCCCTTCGGGGATAAAAGGCGCGATGTTGTGTGTATGTTGTGTGTGTAACAAGTATATATTTTTTTCTATATCAAAATACCAGAATCTCACTCACCTTATAGAACAGCAGTACAAAGTTGATACAGAAAGCCAAGACGAGGGCGACGTATTTCAAATTATAGAAGTTTCGAGCCAAGAAGGAGACAGCACGCCTGGTGTACTGGGACAGATCGACTTGTGATAACGCTGATGGAGCCGGACCTTGGACTGCCTGCAAGAAGAATTAGGGAGTTTTAGAGACGAATGGGTAGAAGAATAGGAGCTTTAGAGAACAGGAGATACTCAAGAAGAATTCATTAACCTTTTCTTTTTTAAGATACTAAAGAAGAGAATGGGTAGATACTAAAGAAGGAAGAAAGAACTTTTTTGTTTGTTATTGTAACTTTATCTCCAACCCGTTTGCCAAACGTGGAGATTATGGCAAACTATCTTATTATGTAGAGAAGGCCCAATCTAGCAGTTGATTGTAATGGATTGTTGTTGGTGCAGGTACCACAGTCTTTTAATTGGAACAAAATGTAGTATTTGTTTGCAGTTCCTTCACTTACTGATTTTAATAAAATAATTTCAGATTTTTATGATTAAATATCTATTTAGTAAAAACGAGCGGAAGGTCTTTTAAGTAGAACAGAAGAGAAGACCGGAGAAGACTGCAAAAGACCATCAACATACGTAGTCGCAATACTAGAAACAAAAAACACGATTTACCTTTTTCGGCCTCAAAAATGATTTGGAACGTCCAAGCTGCGTTGAATGGCAAAAATGGTAGAATGAATGAACCAGTAAATATTGCGTAAATCTAAAATAAGCTTACATTAATGTATGAATTGGATGTTAAAGCTTTATGAGTTGCTAGTATTGAAATGTATACCTTAAAACTATAACAGGACAGTTTATTTTAGTTATTTTGATTTGATTTGTCTTTTAATATTCTACTTTGCTGTTCATACGCGACTTATGAGTTGTCGTATTAGATCTATTATGGTGATGATGATTGTGAATTAACTGAATTAATTGTGTCGATTTGTTGAACAGAAACAATTACTTATCTAAACATTAGTATTACTATTTTATTATTAGCTTTGTCACAATCTATACAGATAAATTAGAGTGTCTGTTTGTAATATTGAAATAACCGCTTTTTACTACATGCATATGAATATACATACGATACATATACATATATCAAAATAACACTTTTTAAAAATTTTGTCTGTCTGTCTGATTGTTTGTTTGTACTGGCTAATCTCTGAAATGGCTGGACCGATTTCGACGGGACTTTTATTGGCAGGTAGCTAATAAAAGTAACATAAGACTACTTATTTTAGAAAAACGCTGACGAAGTTGCCAATTAAGCTAGTTTGACATAAATTAAGCTGTTTTACCTTTTTGCTCTCAGCTTCAATGGCGGACATAGCGGCTTGTTGGGCAGCCTGCGCTTCCATACGTTCTTGAGCCTGCTTCTTTGCTTGTTCTCCTCTGTTAGCGAAAAAAAGTAAATAGTTGAACAAAAATTAAGTAAAATTACAATAGATAATAATAATTCTTAACCTTATTAAGCGATTCTTAAGTAAGCGATGATGCTTACTTAAGGGTAAGATAGTGGTCAAACGTCGGAAAATTTATAATATCACTAGCGACTGGGAAGCCGGGGCTCGCACATACAAATAAACCTTCCTTAAGAATCACTGTATTTATTAAAGAAAACAGCATCAAAATCTCATGCGTAGTTTTAAAGATCTAAGCATACATAGGGAGAGACGGCGGATAGCGATTTTGTTTCATACTATGTAGTGATAAAGTGATACGCCCGAATACTGAAAGTCTACTGAATTTTAAATTGTACTTAAATATCGTGCCATCTCTGTCATTTACAAAGAATTTGTAGTGACAAGACTATACTTAAAACTGAGTATTTTAAAATTTAGTGACGATTCAGTATTCGGGCAATACAACAACAAGGCAACATTATTAATTCTTTTTAAGTAGTAAGTTATATTTATTTACCCAAGTAGGTCAATGAGAGACGGTGGTCTCTGTTCTTCAGGATGGTCGGCGTTCTCATCAGGAGATACTTCAGCCTCCTCGCCGGAAGATGGCGTTGATGTGCTCGGTGACTCGTGCGGTTTTACCTGTATCCTGGTAATGAAGTAATTTAAATTAAACTGATTGTAAGGTTTGTAGGAGTAGGCACTCTAGTATATTGGCTGATAAAGAATAGGATCCTATCATTAATCTACCCACGGATGTTTATTAATTGTCAGACTTTAATTGTGGGATAGCCATGCTTCGGCACGAATGGGCCGGCTCGAACGGAGTAATACCACGACTAGTGATGTGCCACTGAGAACGTTCTCGTTGCCGGCAATATTGCCAGTGAGAATATTCTCAAGAAACTAGAACGCTCCCGGGAATATTCTCAATGTTCTCAGCAATATAAATTTACTTTGTAATTCGATGTTTATGTACATTCATAGATGATATTATGTACCTACAGTGTTTCTGTTTTATTACCTCGGCGCTAGGACTAGTCCTTAGAAACAAGGTATGAGTGAGTAGGTGAGATATTACTGTCCTGCTCATTCTTTTCGTGGCGAACGCGCGTCACGTTTCGCGTTACTTGAAAATCAGTGTGTTTCTGACTTTTAAAGGCTTAACACGTTGCGTTTATCACTGTTATATTTGAATTTTAACAATTATTAAAAGAAACCCAGTGTTCGATCATTTTACGCGTTTATAAGATAAAAAGGCATACGGCAGAGTTCTTAAGCGACAAAGTATCAAAAATTATAGAGGAACTAGGGGTTGAAAAGTTATAAGAAATATTTTCTTTCATTGTTTCTATTGTGAAATCGGTCACGCAATCACATCTCTTGAATGCGGAGTTCAAAAAAGTTGCACAAGAAAACTCTGTGACAGTATCCCTCATCTTACCAGTCAAGACACGCTGGGGCAGTTACTTACGCTGCATTGAGAACTTTAGAAAATCAAAATCATTACTACAAATACAACAGAGATATGCATAAATATGAAAATATTTTGGATGAAGCTACATGGGTCGAAATAGAGCGGCATGCAAACATTTTTAAGCCAACAGTAGATTGGATAACGAAATTAGTAGGAGACGATGGAAAAATTCATTTAGTTCACCAAGCGTTTACAGAAATCAAAGATTTGCTTCATTCCCAAGATGCAATCCAAATATTCGAAAACCATTCGACAAAGTTTTCTTTGGGAATCAGCATCCACGATTCAACTTTTGTCTTGGTGGAACGTATTTTTTCCCAACTCAGATTTGGGAAGAGCTGCTCTAAAAATTTTATCTATACCTTCAACATCGATAACTGTGGAAAGGAGTTTCTCAACATTTTCAAACATACATACCCAGAAAAGGAACAAATTAAAGACTGATCGAGCTGGAAAACTGTGTTACGTGGCTCATAGTTGGAAGCTCATGAACAAAACTCCTAATTCCTCAAATAAGACAGAAACACAGTCACGAATTATATCCTACGATTCAATCGGCGTCAGCTACCTCAGCAAACTATGAAAGTGATTCAGAACATGAAGAGTATATACTTGAATCTATGGAAATTTTTGATTTTGACGAGTTTTAGGATATTTAAGAAGAACCATTACTTCTTGAAGATCGTCTAGCGATAGATTAGAATTATTTTCTCGTAAGAAAACGGTATTATCATACTATTTAAAAAAAATCTGATTACAAAGTGTTCATTATATCTGAAAGCCGTTAAATATTGTTAATTTTAATATTCTTTGTTAATTTTTAGATAATTAGTTCCGATTCAATATTTTTTAATCATAGTCCGTTGATTTCATCTTTAAATAGCTATTGATTAATTTTAAGTTAGTAACTTTACTTTTTAGTCAGATTTTAAAGTGTTCACTCAATGTTTGTCAATATTGTAGTAATTAGTGAAATTGATGTTCTTTAGTCTCATTAAACGGAGTTGATTGCAAAATATTGTTTTATTTTGACCATTTTACCTTACATTTTACATTTATACCTAAAACAAATATATATTTAATGTCAAATAAACGAACATTTTTAACCGTCCATTATTTCCATACGTGTAAAAAGAAAGTGCTGTCATCGTCCATATCAATAAAACAAAAAAATATCAAAGGTACAGTAGTGCTGAGAACATTGCCGAGAAAGTTCCCGAGAATATTCTCGAGAATATTTGCTAACACTGGGAATATAGTCTTTTACTGCAAATAAAGTGTATTTTTTATACTCAATAATCTGTTGACTTCATTTGATACTATTTTATTTTAGAAAAATATGGTTGTTCCCATTAGATAAAAATGATTCTCAGTCATTCTCACTTAGGAGAACGTTGCCGGGAACGCTGCCGGCAATATTCTCAGGTAGGAGAACGTTCTCGAGAACGGCACATCACTAACCACGACCGAGCAGAAAATCGTCGTGAAACAACACTTATGTTGCGTTTTGCCGTGTGAGTGAGGTTACCGGAGGCTCAATTATCCGCCCAGTCTTCCCCAATCCCTGAATCCAACAATCCTCAAATTCCTAATCCCAAAAGGCCGGTAATGCACTTGTAACGCCTCTGGTGTTCCAGGTGTCCATGGGCGACGCCGATTGCTTACCATCAGATGATCCGTCAGCTCGTTACCAGCTTAAACCATAAAAAATAATAATAAAGCCCATAAATACAGTATCTACTCTACTCTACTCTGAAAAAGAAGACAAAAATTAGTAAATTTCTAATAAAAGCCAACTTACTGTCCATTGTCTTCTTTAGTGATATCCAGTCCGAATGCGGAGACCTGCATTTGCCCAGTGTCGTCAGCTGGTGGTAACGCTGGTAGATGTCGAGAACCTGGTATAGCAGAAGTTGATTATCATATCATTATGACCATAAAAAGCCTTTGGATTCATTTCATTGAACTGGCAGGTTGAATTACAATCTAATCTAAGGCCTTGTATGAGTTCGAGACCGCGTTAGGCGTTTTTATTAGTTGGTTCATTGAAGCTGGCCAATCAGAGCGCCGAACGCGGTCTCGTTTCGATAACTTCATCATAATCTATACAGATTGACTGCACGGTTGGCGCGGTTGTTGGGCAACTGACTGTCGCGCAACGTGTCCCGGGTTCGATTTCCGCACGGAACAACTCTTTGTGTGATCTACAGATTGTTGTTCCGGGTCTGGGTGTCATGTGTATGTGAACTTATATGTTTGTAAAGGCACCCACGATACAGGAGAAAATCCTAGTGTGGGGCAAAGTTTTTTTTAAAAAAAAAAACTTAAAGTGAAGCGAACTCGTCCCTCTGATAGTCAATTTTTTAATTTTTATCCAAATACATATGTGTCAGTGGACTGCCTAAAGCACGTCTTCTCATCACCCTTTCCCAGTTTGTATTAGGTCACTATTTAGTCAGAATCGTGTAAATTTTGTAAACAGGATAATTTGTATCAAGTTTCGAAAGCTTCCAATCAACCTTTAATTATTTTTGTGTATGTAACACTAACACTAACACTAATTATAATAGAGGAAATCTTGAGAAACAAATAAAGGATTATAAAATTGTGTAACGACACATAGGTAGTTCAATTAACCAAACTTTACCTGTCTACCTATTCTCGCTTAAATAAATTCTTGGCTTCGGTGCCTGATGTAAATGAATAAATAAAAAAAATAGACACAAAGTTATGTTAAAAAACAACATTGACACTTTAAGGCCACAATTTCGACAATTTACACCAATAAGCAGAGTACATAATATTATGTTAAGCATATTACAACATAGACGTTTCATCTTAAAAATATCCCAAAAGGGAATTTAAAAATATGTATCATTATCTTATAGTTTAAGAGCCAGATCCAAGAAGACAAGAAATGACTGACGCTACTGTAATATTTGAAGCAGAATCGAATCATGAAATTATAGGTATTTATTTACCCATAAAAATTTTAACTAATAATAAAATAAATCTTTAATTATACTTTTTTTCCATTATTCACAATAGTTCTACACTAACCGGGGACTGTCCTTGGGTGTATTTCCATAGTGCATACAGGGATAGCCGCCGGTTTGTGTTATGCCATTACATTTATATTAAAGTTGTCTAAAGAGCCTCTGCGCAGTTGGCTTCGGCCCCTCGTACGCCTCCCAAATGACCGGGACCCTGTGGTCCCGTGAAGGTAAAGACATACATAAAAATAAATCTTATAATTTACTAATTAAAAAAAAACAGAAGAAAACTTATGTAATTTGTATTAAAAAAAGATAAATTTATATTTTTTATCACCAGCTCTTAAACTATCATCTAACACATTGTTATCTTACCTCTTGTTATCCAAAAGCAGATTTGTTACAACATTTTTTGTTATAATAATTAATAAATTAATGCCAATAATAAATTAATAACAAATTAATTTTGAAATCGTTATGTTTTTTGTTACATTATTGTTAAACCTGCGTTTGGCGATTAAATGTCGACTCTTGTTGTAGCGTTTGGTCACTGTTGGGTTACGTCACAATTAAAAAGAATAGATAATAGGAAAAATGGAAAAGCTAATAATTGTGAAAACTACTTCGATGTCTAAATGAATGAAATGAATCTAACAAAATTAATAAAGATTAATAAAGCCACCGAAAGAAATTTATGTGAGTCAATGCTTTTTGCGATGATGAGGTCACTAGTAGTTACTTTTTTTAAATTTTCAGCAGTTTTTGCGCTGAATAGCAGTACTAAAAGTCGGACTGTGGATAGAAATGAGCTGATGCTGACGATTATAATAGATAATAGCGGTGATAGTAACGACAGTGATAATAACGATAGTGATAGTAATGATAATGCTAATGATCTTTGTACTTATTGTGTAACTAAGTACCTATTGTGCGACACACAAAATTAATTGAAGACAACAGTTGACTCATTGTTCAGAAATAAGAGCTTTTCTTTGTAATTTCACGTGAGTAAACCGTTATCTTTAATCAATGATAGTTATGGTAATGATAGTGATATTAACGATAACCGTGGCGATAATGACGATAATGGCGATTATAATGATAGTGATATTAATGATAACCGTGGCGATGACAACGATAGTGGTGATGACAATAATATCAATATGATATTGACAAAAGAAAATAATCTCTATTAACGTAGCCTTAGTGACCAAACGCGCCAGTGCGAAGCGGCACTCGTGTGTATACCTGTTCATGTTCTTACTTTGTGTGGCTAGCAACCTGTGTCTTAACTGACCGATTTTCTCCTCCTCCGTCGGTTCGGGCGGCGGTTCGTCCGTCTGTGGACCTCTCATCAGACCGAGAAGGACGCCGAATATGTACCTACAGGTTGGTTAAATATAATATGGGTTAAATGAGATATTGGTTATGAACGGTAAAAAATTTGATGTGGTTGGAAAGAAATTATACTCCGTTGTTTTGGATATGTTTATAAGGCAGATATAGACAAAAACGCAGTTTTATAGCCGACCATTTCATTCAGTTTTGAGAGCTTTTGAAGATATAGAAAACAATAAAAAAAATGCTGAGGAAGCAGTGTCTATTAGACCTTTTAATATCGATACGTAATAAGTATCGATGTTCCGATTTTTATTATAATATATTACGGAGTATAATTCCATTTCCTTCATTTACATAATCAGTATTTAAAATAATATATCTTCAACATACTACTTGCACAGTAATTGTACAGTTTTATTTCAGAAGGAAATATAATTTAAGACATTTGCACAGTGCATTAGTTTTTAAGCTATATAATAATATCTAGATAGTGCTATTTAGGTCTACAGTGGTCTATGACTACGACAACATAGATTTTATCATAGACAATCTAGATACACATTAACATAAACTATAGAGTGGGTAGGGTAGTCCATTGGTAATTAATGAAATTATAAACTGAATTAATATTGAGAACTGATTATTAAATAGGTAAATTTTATGAAATCATTATTTAGAACATTCGTTGTTAAAAGAAGATCTTCAAGGTTTTTCTTAATTCACGATGGACTGTCCCATATAGAACATTTTTTAATTCTCATAGGGCAAGGTACTGTCTAATTACGCAACGCTAATTTACACAAACACATACACACAGTACCCTATTGATGCATTGTATATTTGTATCCTATCGGATACTATCTGTTATCCGAATGCGTAAGTCTTTGTCGGATTCGTGACAAACATTTTTTCGTAATTTATTTTATACAATGAAGGCTACCATTTTTTATCATAAGATGGCGTTAACCCTTTTAGTACCGTCATTATAAACAATTTAAATGTCAAACACCGCGAGGACACCGGTGACCGCAACCTATTGTTCTTTAATTGTGTCTATAATGACGGTACTCAACGAGTTAAAGAACAATAGGTGTGCGGACACCGGTGTCCTCACGGTGTTTGACAGTTTAACACAAATTTTGCTTTAAGACCGTTAGTCGAATCATTAATTGTAGACAATTAAACTGGGTGTCCAAAGGTTAAACACTATCTTTTCGACAAATAAACCTTACGGTATATTAGTGCCATCTATTGAGAAACAAAACAGTAGCTTTCATAAGTGCACGGCCATGCATAGTTTTTTGAAATTTGATATAAAATTATACAAAAAAAATGTGATTAGTGAAAGAAATAGCAAGATGTGGATGACCAAACATTTTTTGGAGTTTGATTTGTTTGTTATTTAATTTATTTTTAATTTTGATTTTGATATTGATTTTAATTTTAATTTTGATTTTGATTTTAATTTTGATTTTAATTTTGATTTTGATTTTGATTTTAATTTTGATTTTGATTTTGATTTTAATTTTAATTTTGATTTTGATTTTGATTTTGATTTTAATTTTGATTTTAATTTTGATTTTGAATTTGATTTTGATTTTGATTTTGATTTTGATTTTAATTTTGATTTTGATTTTAATTTTGATTTTGATTTTGATTTTGATTTTGATTTTAATTTTAATTTTATTTTGATTTTGATTTTGTTTTTGATTTTGATTTTGATTTTGATTTTAATTTTAATTTTGGCTTTAGTTTTATATTCTATTGCAGCGTTTTCTTTTCCTCCAATTAATTTATTGCTAATTTATTAATGTAAATTAATGCGACTTCATTTGATTTTTTAGCCAACATCTTGTATTCTAATTTTGTATCCAATTATTGATATTTATTTTTTTTTCTTAAAGAATGCGGTGCTCGCCTGTAATCGATTGTAACATTTTACTGTTATCTTAATTAAATGTTTGTTATTTAATGTAAGAATGTATACAATTGTTGGTGGGCCAATAAAGATAAATAAAAAAAAAAAAATACAGTGTTGTAACAAGTACCTGGAGGTAGTTTTATCAAATTGCGAAACGGTTAAAAATACAATTAGTCTACTTTAATATCTGTCTGATTAGTTCAACCCATAGCGTGTCTTGTCAGTCACAGATGCCTGACGCTAGTGGAGGTTTGACGTTTACCATTTTAAAATTGACAGTTAGTGTTAAAAGTGTTCATATTTCACTAATGATATATGAATATCCAAATTCATATTTCACTAATGATATATGAATATAAAAGCCTTGTTTGGTATGCCTACTGATTATGCTAATTAAAGGCTTTTACTCTGTGTAATTTATAATATGGAAAGATTTTAAAAATTATAACACAAACTCATAAATATTATAGAAAAATTTATATTGTCTACTCTAATGACGTCACAATTCAATAAAACACCTAAAAACCACAACTTTTGAAATAGTGAAGCATTTACCAATGACTGTGCATCAAACGTAGCGTGGAACATAAACGTAATAATTACTCATGACGTTCGATTCAAATATCAACCTTATATTCAAGACAAATAGAGTTCGAATTCCAACTCACCTGATCACGACGAGCATTCCATAGCCCAAGTAATAGAATAATAGGAAGAACATTTTGAAGAAGCCCACTGCTAGTTCTGCTGGCGGCATTTGTTGGAGATCTGCGATTTTCGCCTTTATGTTCGATGGGGATAAGGATGAGAATGCTGTGTAGATGCCGTCTTTTACTGATTGGAGACCACGACGGAATGGATCTTTGCCGGATCTGAGAGTATAAAACGAGAGAATTTTTTTTTAAAGTGTGACCTTTAGCACAAGCAGTTTCACTGACAGACAAACGGACGGACAATTCATGTTGACTTTTCAAAAGTGTCTAACTAAGGTCTAATTGAAATAAATGCTTTGACTTTGAGATTGTTTAATATTACACTTGTATTTACCATCATCATTTTCATTTCATCAACAGCCTATAAATGCCCACTGCTGAGCATCACACGGAGAAGGTTTGCGCATTAATCACCACGCTTGCTCAATGCGGGTTGGCGATTACAAACTTATAATTAGAAATTATAAGCCCAGGTTTCCTCACGATGTTTTCCTTCACCGTTTGTCAGTGGTGTCTGAATAATCTTAGACAGTACATATAACTGGGAAAAAGTCACATCGGTACTTGCCGTTGGTAGGTTTCAAACCCACACCCTCATGCATGAGAAACGGGCGTCTTAAACCTCCGGGCCACCACAACTTGTATTTTAGAGCAGTAGTTTAAGATGTCGAAAAGTTTCGAGTGCAGGCTCTCTGACTATATTATTGTTCTTATTCAGTCGAATATCAAATCCCTAACTCCTAAAAGGCTGGTAACGAAACTCCTCTGATATTGCCATGGTCCACAGTCCATTATCCATGGGCAGCATCGATTGCTTACCATCAGCTAATCTGCCTACTCGTTTGCCGGTCTATCTCATAAAAAAATATAAGATGTTCCAAAAACCTTTTTTGTTCTAGTTTTATAATAACTATCTTGGGACATATTGAATTAACTAAAAATAACGGGTTACTCATGTAAATATACTGAGAAAAGCTCTACTAGTCTCTATATAGCCACAGAGGGACTGTTCCTCATAAGCAGCGTGCGCGGTCGCGGCGACGTCGAACACTCTACTGTAGCTCACGAGTAAGAGTCCTTGTATGACTCGAAACTAGTAGAGCTTTTCTCATTATATAATTACGTAACTTTAGTTTTTTTTTGTTTATTAAAAAATTCAATATGACCTCTACGATAACCCTGATAATTAGATATATATAGAAACATCGTCTACATCATCATCAGACGGATATACTGACCTCTCATCGTCATCATCTCCCATATACATGTAGCTGGCCTCCCTATTCTTGGTTCCTCCGACAGACTCCTCGGACGCGGCCATGAGTCCGGACGCGTGAGTCATTTCAAAGATGGCGTCCTCGCAGAAGTTGACGAAGGCCTCCAACTTCTCCTTGTCTCCTCCTTCTGTTACTATGCTGTAGAAGAATGCGCGTTTCGATTCCTGGGAGAGAAGAATAGTTCGTTTTGAAAGTGAATATAGACTTGGTTTGCTTGTCTGATGTTTTATAAAATTTCAACGGGTGAAGGAATAAATAAGTAAAGCGTTGAATGTGCAAAGAGTATATAGGAAACAGAGAGTATAGTTTCCTAAAGTGGTGACTCCGACGTGATTTGGAAGTGCGGTCACACTGTCATCGAGCGGAGCAATTTCGCTCGCGCTTTGAGGTGAGGTTCGAGTGTTCTAGACCGCCACATATTCCCCCCGGCCAGACCGTGAGTACGGTCGATAGAAGTCAGGGAATCTCACTCGACGACTCCTTCTTGTCCCCTTCTCCTCGTCGCCGGCAGCTGGAGTGCTCGAGATGGTAGTAGTAGTCGCTGGCTCAGTGTTCCTAGTGTCTTCACGCATCAAGTAGGCCGGTTTGAGACGATCAATGGAGACATTGTTTGGTTTACCTTGTACATCAATAGTAAAGTACTTTGGATGTCTCTGTATCACCCTGTAGGGACCAGCGTAGACCAAAGGTTTGATGATGATGAATTTGTAGTGACAGAACTATACTTAAGCGCAACTGAAAATGTAGTAACGTTTCAGTATTCCGGCAATAGTGATATATTGGCGCTACCTGATGATCAGAAAAACATAGCCCTCATTAGATATGAAATCGTACCTTAATCTGTGGTTTCTCCCACTGTTCGATGTTAGACTCCTTGATCTCGAAGTAGACCCGCTCTATCCGCTTGGACCCGCCCATGATCTCGATGCGACCGAGGAATGGCTCGAAGTAGTTCAAGACAGAACCAGCTGTCTCTAGGAAACGGGCCAACCTGAAATTTAAATATTTGAGTAATTTTATACAAGACTAACTAACTAGGTAAACTTCCTACCGCCTCAAATCTATGTTTCTCATCTTTTAAACCCTTCCTGGACTTTATGAGATTAATAAACAGCAATTCATTTATATTTTTTCATGGAATAAGCTCGTATACCGAGCCGACGGATCACCTGATGGTAAGCAATCTGCGTCGCACATGGACACCCGAAACACCAGAGGCGTTACAAGTGCTTTACCGGTTCTTTTGGGGTGTAGTAATTTTAGGATTATTGGGGAGATTGGGGGAGGGGGAGTGATAGGGCCTCCGGTAACCTCACTTATACGACAAAACACGACGCAAGCGTTGTTTCACGTCGGTTGTCCGTGAGGTCGTGGTATCACTCCGGTCGAGCCGGGCCCATTCGTACCGAAGCATTCCGATTCCGACTGCCGAGCAAGATGTCCCGCATTCCCGAGTCCAGCAAAGCAATACATACAGGACTTTTCGATTTTTCAAAAAAATTGTAATAGTATGGAGTCTGAAACCACGCCCAATATGGGAATTAGAATTGATTAAAAGTGGAGATCCAGTCAGAGGCTCAATGATCAACATCCAAATTCAGTCTACACAATAGAAACACTCACCTAGGTTCATTAGGCATATGTTCAGACAAGTTCGTGAGCAGTACAGCCAAGTTGAACCCGATTTCCTTGGCGGGTTCATGGAACCGGTCGCAGAAGCCGATGTAGTCCAGTTTCCCATCGTGGTTCGTCTCACAGCATGCTAGGAGGAACTCGATTTCTTCCCTGTGGGTGTGAAATGAGAGATTTAATAGCTACGTACTAAATAACTAATTCTTTTTATAAAAATGCAGATGATATAGGGTTCAAGAGTGTGTAAATAAGCGAGCAATAATCTTTGTTCGTTTTCCCTCGGTTCTTATTTTATAGTCATTCGGCGCTCTGATTGGAGCGCTGGGTCCATTGGAGCAGGCCAGTCAGAATGCTAAACACAGTAACGTTTCGATTTCGTTAAACGTAAAATGAACTTGGGCAGGCTAAGCCCTCTGATTTTAAGGTAAACTTATATAGGTAAGTTTGCTAAGAAAATTGACCGAATACCGAAATTATTAATCTGATAAATACGAATAGGAGAATAAATATTTTTCATAAAAAATATCGATTTTTACTTTTATTACAATCATGGATTAAAATCTGAGATCTCATGATGCAAAGAAGAATTTGAAGGCAATTCAAACTTTATAAAATTTAACAGATTTTATTAGTCGAAAGAACATTGTTTTTGCTTGACTTCACTTGATCGCTAGACCTCCTGATACCTATTAAACACACATGTCAATGTCATTATATGAACCAAAGAGTCTACTCTTTACTTACGGTGTATAACTCTTCTGCTGTTCCATCTTCTCCTTAAAGTCCTTGGGCAGCACCCATCCATCATTATTAGCATCAATCTCCTGGAAGCTGGCGCTAGATGTCAGGTCCTTCAGTTTCAGAAACATGTCGAAGTATTTGAGGATTAACTCCACGTTGGACGCAGATTCTACCAGGGTGTCCACCATCTGCTTACCGATAGTGCCTGGGGAATGGAATATTTGGATTAGCTAATTTAGCCAAGCGGAGACCATACGCGTGGTGGACAGATGACATAATGCAAGTGGGTGGCAAACATTGGATGAATATCGCCAAGAACAGGGACAATGGAAAGCACCAGAGGAGGCCTTCACCTTCGAATAAAGCGAGGGGTTCTTACTACAAGTAACGTAAACCGAGAAGGATGTAAAGCAAAGGAAATCTTATTACGTAAAACCAATATTTTATATTGTTCTATTCTTTGTAAACTAGTAAGAAATATAAGGCTTCTTTATTTTAATTTATTTATTTAGCCAAGCGTGTTTTATGAAGAGTCAGGTGAAGGTCGTGTGAGTGATGTTACGGGAGGCCCAAAGCTCTCTAAAGCCGGCAAACATTTACAACTCCTTTGGTGTTGTAAGTGGCTATGGGCGGCGCCGATTATACATCAATTAATTTAATTGTGGGAGAACCATGCTTCAGTATGAACAGATCGGCTCGACCGGAGTGAGACCACGGCAGAGCAGAAAACCGACGTGAAACAACCGAAGCGTTGGGTTTCATCGTGTTAGTGAGGTTACCGGAAGCCCAACCCTTCTTCCCCACTCTCCCCAATCCCCAACAATCCTCAAATTCCTAATCCGCAAAAGGCCGGTAACGCACTTGTAACGCATCTAATGTCCGGATGTCCATGTGTGACGCCGATTGCTTACCATCAGGTGATCCGTCTGTACGTTTGTTGGCTTACCCCATAAAAAATATAAAAACACTTCCGAAATAAGACATTAGAGAGACGAGGAGCATACATGAAAATACTGTTGATGAAGCGAAAGAGGTATGTAAGAATCGTAGCAATTGGTGTTCCGTAGTCTCTGCTTATACCAATGGGAGACAAGCGTGAGTTTGTCTATGTATCCTTACTAATATTATAAATCGGAAAGTGAGTTTGTTTGTTTGTTTGTTCCGCTTTTACGCCATAACTACTAAACCGATTAATTTGAATTTTTGCAGAAGTAAAGTTATAAGTCCGAATTAAATAATAGGGTATTTTTATAATGGAAAAATTTGATATCTCGGAGGGAAAACAAAAGTATTGGTATAGATGGCGCTGTGTGTATTGGTATATGTCACATAGGCTACTTTTTATCCTTTTGTGACGCGAGCGAAGCCGCGGGTAAAAGCTAGTGTATGTATATTTGAAGTAACTTCTTATGGCACATTTGATTCCCTATCCACTTTACCGTTAACAACGTTTCCTTCCAGCATAGACAGCATCATGGTGATCATATCCTTCTGCAGGTTGAGGAGTTCCTTCAGCAGGTCCACCTGGGACGAGTGCTTGGACAACTTGTCCTGCATGTGGGAGAATAGGAAAAGGAAACCACCAACTGCGTCCCATAACCTGGAATAAATGTTGATGGTTAGATTTTGTATGTTCTAGTTTACAGCAAGAAACTTCTCATCTTAGAAGGTGAGGAGGAGAAAAATCGCTCTTCTATAAAGTAGATATGGTTCAATTTTAATAAACAGAAAGAGGTTGACCTGTCCCTTATTTCTCAGCCAGAGTGATACCACGGCCGAGCAGAAGACCGTAGTGAAACAACAGAAGCATTTTGTTCCGTCGTATGAGTAAGGGTACCGGAGGCCCAATTATCCCCCTCTAAAATTGTTGAATCCCCCACAATCTTCAAATTATCAATCCCTAAAAGGCCGGTAACGCACTTGTAACGCCTCTAGTGTTCCAGATGTCCATGGGCGACGACGATTGCTTACCATCGGGTGATCCGTCTGCTCGTTTACCAGCTTATTCCATAAAAAATTATATTATAAAAAATATTTATTTTTTATATATTGCTAGTATATTATATCTATTGTAGGTTGTATTGTAGGTATTTTTATTTTGTCTTTTTTATTGTACACTTAACTATCCCATATCTGGTTTCTTATAAATATTTCCATCCAAAGGTTGTCTGTAAGAAATCACCATTGCGTGATAAGACCAATGGGCATTGTACGGATATTTACTTGAATTGTTTGTTTTTAAGCTACTTAAATGTGTACAATAAAGCATATATATGTAAATAATAAATATATAAAATGAAGGAATGTTTTGGTATATTACCTAGAATGTGCCAGAGCCTGTTGGTTCTGTGTACAAGGTCCCTGGATGACCTCAGTGAGAGTGTTGAACACCTGGGACGCGACACCTATCGCCTTGAAGAAGTTCGCCTTGCCAGCTGGATCGATTAATTCCTGCGAATATAGATATTTATTATTATAATCATAATCAGAAGTTAGTTTGCTTGCCACCAGGGTCCAGAGCCTTTAGCCGAACGCTACTTTTGCGCTTGTCTACCGAGAGAGTAAAAATCAAAATATATGGGGATGACACAAGTGTCAAAATTTACGTCAATCCCATATAATTTGGTTTTCTACTCTACATGTAGACAAGCGCTAAATGGCATTTGGCTACAGCTGCTGGTCATTTACCTTCCTATCCATAATCACTACATAGTATAAAACAAAGTCGCTATCCGCCGTCTGTCTCTCCCTATGTATACTTAGATCTTTAAAACTACGCAACGGATTTTGATGCGGTTTTTTTTAATAGATAGAGTGAATCTTAAGGAAGGTTTATAAATATAATGCATGCATATGACCTACATTATTATTCTGCTTATTGTGATACCTCATTATAAATGATAGAAATACAAACTTAGTTGTTTCAAAGTTGGATTTAAACCCGAGTAAGCTGGCTTCTTGTAATTCACCATTAAAGAGCAGCCGTAATTCTGACTTCTCGATACAAGCTGTGTCGACGTCCGATATTCAAAATTGGATGTCAAACATTAAAGACCTGTTACATGAAGTTTGCACTATTGCCACAGAGGGCAAACTTAATTCGGAACAAAAACTTAAGATATCAAATCTGAGCCGAAAATAGGTGCTGATGTCTCGCAAATGGCTGTCTTATATCAAGCTCTGAAGCAGCAAGCCCGCATAGCCGTTAACATTATAGATGAGATGAGAGAAAAGCAGGACCTTGTGGAACAAATATCGAACATCAAGCAGACTATCAAGGATTCAACATCAACGGGAAATGTTTCATTTGCTGACACGGTAAAGAAGGGAACTGACTTCGTGCACGCTTGCGAAGCCAGGGCGGGTCGCTAGTTACTATCATAAACAATACTATACCTTGCTGGAGTAATGCCAGTAGAAGTCCATGATGGACTCCTGTAGCCGCAGCAGGTAGTCGACGGTACAGATGACGACGTTCACTGTCGTCGTGTTACCAGCCTGCGTTCTGAGGTAGTTCTGCCAGTCTGTAAGCAAATATTATTGTTTGAAGATGTCAATTGTCATATTTCAACGTCTATTTAAATATCATCTGCCTCGTTGGCCGAGTGGTCGCAAGTGCGACTGCCGGGCAAGGGGTGTCGGGTTCGGTTTCCGGGTCGAGCACAGTATTACTGGTTTTATTTGAATTCTCAGTAGTAGCACGGAGTCTGGAATTGTGCCCGGTATATGGCAATAGGCTCACCCTCTATTACATGGGAATCATAACATGAATAGGCGCCGAGCAGAGCGGGTGAAGCTGCGTGGAAGTAGCTAGTCTTTATATACTTATATATATAATACTTCTGTGAGTGTGTATGTCACTGAACTTCCCTCAAACGACTGGACCGATTTTGATGAAATTTTTTGTGTGTGTTCAAGGGGATCTGGGAATGGTTTAGATTCACAAATCAGCCCGGCAGATGGCGCTGCAGTCGGTGTCTAAGTTAGTTATCCTAAACGACTGAACTAATTTGAATGAACTTTTGTTTATACATTCAAGTGGATATGCAGGACAACGTCTGTCGGGCCCGCTAGTCCTTACTTTATACTTATATACTTATACTATAAATCGGAAAGTGAGTTTGTTCGTTTGTTTGTTTGTTCCACTTTAACGCCGTAACTACTAAACCGATTGCTTTGAACTTTTGCAAACGTAAAGTTAGAAGCTGAATTAAATAATAGGGTACTTTTTTCCCGGCAAAATTTGATATTTCCGTGGGAAAACAAAAGTATTGGTATAGATAGCGCTGTGTGTATTGGTATACATCACATAGGCTACTTTTTATCCTTTTGTGACGTAGGCGAAGCCGCGGGTAAAAGCTAGTCATAACATAAATAGTGAAAAGTGGATGTTATAGGCTTTGTAGAACATAACGCTACGACCACTAGGCGTCGAGCAGAGCGGGTGAAGCCGCGTGGAGGTAACTAGTTATATAAAATCGATCCTATTCCTAGCTAAGCAGTATCGTATAATTTATTTAAGACTTTGACTGCCGACAGAAAACCGTTGAAGGTAAATCCTCCGCTAGCGTGGCCCATACGTTGTCCCCCATGGCGTTCAAGGTGTTAAACAGTACTCACCCAAGTTGTGTCCTTCACAAGTAAGTTGTATGAACCGGAACAGTGCGCACGTGAACTCCGCGTCGTGCATGTTCTTCTCACCCGCCGCGCCTTCCAGGCCCACTCCCAGACCTGGACATGCACATAGCACATACTTGAGATTTGAGAAACGGTAATTGTGATACGAGGTGGAGAAATCATAAGAAGAAGAAGAAGAAAGAAGAAAAACAGTTTATTTTCACCATTACAGAAAGGACAAGAAAAAAAAATAGTAATAAAAAAAACAACAGTGTGCACGGTGCAAAAAGGCCAGTGCTCAGCTAAAATGTCGTGTCACGAGCGCGATTGCTCGAGTCGCGGCGCTGATTTTCAGCACTAGCCTGTTGCTAAAATCTTATACAAATAAATAGATAAATACTAAATAGAATATAATAAAAATAAGACGGAATAGAAACATTGTTATCATACATAACACAGATATTTCAACGATCACTGAATTTAATCATAAGTGTTTTTGTAAATAAGAGATGCATCATCAACATTTATTATTTTTTTTTTATCTTTAAATCAAACAGGTAAGTTATATTATAATTTATTTACCAGGTAATAGAGTACCTAAAGTAGTGACCCCGACTTGATCAGAAGGTTGCTTGTTTAAATCACGTACACAAAACACCACTAATTAGTTCGCAGCGCTACACATCGACACTACTGTCATTTACACAGTGTACATGTGTGGGTAATTTCATATTACTGTGTATAAAAATATTCGTCCACCACGTTCATATTGGTATTTTCATTCTTGTGTCGGTATACGTATTTATATAATTTAATACATAGGTAGGGTTAAAACTATTTACAATCATTGATATGACCCGACATTTTCACTGTCATTATCATAAATGTACCCCATAGCATGATTCCTTCTACATTTAAGAAAATATTCCTTCATAGGAGATCTCACAAACCTTCAGCCTTAGTATTCCTCTCGAAGGCGTCCAGATCGAGCACGGAGCAGGAGTTCATGAGACCAGCTATCGAAGTGAAGAATCCGACGTCTTTCTTGTCTTTCAGATGGTTCAGCATACCCTGGAATACAGAAGAGAATAATGTCATTATTAATTTATCACGTTTTTTTCCTTGAAAATGTATGAAGATATGTATAAGATGTAGAACGGATTTCATTTTGGTGTCAAACCAATTTTATTATGTTTTTTTTTCCTTAAATAAAATAAGATCATAACTCAAGTCGCGTATGAACTGAAAATAGTTTCTTATACAGTCGATATTTGCCACAATTTAACTTTTAAATATTAAGGGCCTGTTTCACAATATCTGTATAGCCGTTATCTACCAGATAAATAGCATAACATAATATCACGCTTTTTATCCCCGAAGGGGTAGGCAGAGGTGCACACAGAAGTAACACCCACTTTTCACTATTTATGTTATGAGTCCCATGTAATATGGGTGAGCCTATGGCCATATACCGGGCACATTTCCAGACTCCGTGCTACTACTGAGATTTTTTTTTAAAACCCCGTAATATTTTGCCCGACCCGGAAATCGAACCCGAGACCCCTTGTCCAGCAGTCGCACTTGCGACCACTCGGCCATCGAGGCAGTCCAGATACCAGATATCGGATAAATTTGAATTAAGAACGTAGTATGTATGAACTATCTGTCACATATAGTTTATCAAGTACTGATTGAGAGGTGGTGAAACCGGCGCTTAGTATATAAACAGAAATAAACCAATTGTAACACGAATAACAAGATACATTATTTAAAAGTCGATCATTTAAAACATAAACACTTTAACCGCGGTCATGGCGATGATCCACGCTGCTCACAAGGAAGAGTCCTGTGACTCTGAATTTTTTCAGTATATAATCAGGTATTGTTGACCCACGATTCTATCCAACAACCCTTTCCTAAACAAATATCCTATCAATTACTAACTACAACAGGGTAGATGCCTAATTTTTATTTTAATGTCCGTCTGGTAGATGATTTTAAATCATTAGACACGTATTTTTTATTTTCTTACAGAAACGAATACTTTCGACGATATATTGATTTGAAATGTCGCGTGACGTCACTTCTATGTACATTTTATACGTAGAAATGACGTTTTAGCCCCACTCCTATACTTTGATTCGTTTTATCTAAGTATTGTTTTATTATACGACAAAATAAAAAAATACGTGTCTAATATCTTTTCATTACCTAACTTACTTATATTTTTAATTTTTATACCCTGTCATCATCCCTATTACTTACCATCTGTATATCAATATTGCCTCCCCTAAGTATAGAGATTCCCAGCTGTAGAGTCTTCATCACCATCTCGCTAGGTAGCCCCTTGGACGCCGATATATGGAGGAGCACCATCTCTGCCACACCCCTGTTCGCTAGACGAGCTTGATGGAAGAGTAACTTCTGTTTTTCCATTTCTTGTTCCTGTATGGGGAAAATGGTGTTTTAATAAATATTTTTAAGAATATTTGGATTATTTTTCTCAGATTATAGGTAAGCAGAACCACTATTAGTCCATCGCAATAAGCAGGTGGAATAATTAGCAAGACATTTTTTTGCAATTTCAAAATATAATTATTCATATTCAATTGTTGGACGACGAAAATCAACTAAATGAACGTCACTAGTTTAATCTGTATGATCGGCAGCACTAGCTGTCATATTGACGATGTCATCTGTCAAATGTAACAGATAAGTAAAGTTTCCCGCGCAAAGAGTGGTAACGCGCGATTCTGGTGGGAATTTTGAGGAGCATCACGCTGTGTTCTTATAAGGATCCGTTTAGAATAAACTTTTCAGTATTGAAGTATTGAGTTTTACTTAAAACAATATACATACCATAAACATATCCATAGTTTTCTGCATGTAACAGACAATTCAATTTTAAAAGCGAAGAGTTATATTACTATTTCTTTGAATAATTACCAAATTAAAATCCAAGGTGTATTGAAATCTGAACCCTATCTATGACTTCATAGAATTTACTGTCGACAGTTTTTACAATCGATCATATCTTCTTCACAATTGAACCTTATTCACTGCATAATAGATTTCTAATTCATTCTTACATGTATACTGGCTCTGCCCTCATCTTCTGCCTCAGCCTCACCCCCGCCCTCTTCTTCTTCCCCGCCCCCTTCTTCCTCTTCTTCTCCACAGGACTTTGCTATGATATGTGCGTAAGACATGTAGAGTGGATCCTCCTAGAAATTTATTGAATGGTATTTAGTTATAGCTTGCGATCAGTATAGGTTAAAATATTAACTATAACTTCTCATAACATGTTTGTATATAAATTCTTTCACGGGTTTGTGTTTCGGTAGAAAAAAATAATACTCTATTGTGATTTTCTCAAACGTTATTTTTGCGATGGCCACATTTGAAGTACCTACGTCTTTTGAATAAAAAAAGGTTATAGACGTACCTGTAACGCTCCAGATCTCTCAGTCATGGCTCCCCTGCAGAAGGTGGTGACCAGCTGTGTCAGAGGATCAGGCTTCTCTCCCTCCTCCTCACCGTCGCTCTTCTTCAGCTCCGCGTCTTCGAACGATTGCTGGAATATACCAACCAGAAGAGTCAATAGGGTAGTTTTCTAAATTTTATTTTAATGTCCGTCTGGTACATTAATTTAAAACTTTAGACATGTATTTTTTCTTTTCTCATAAAATTAAATACTTATGACGATATATTAATTTGAAATATCGTGTAACGTCACAGCGTGCCACATTTTGTAGCATGTTATGACGTAACTACATCTAAACTTAGCGCCATTTTATCTAAGTATTGCAACTTAATACGAGAAAATAAAAAACTACGTGTTTAATATTTTTTCATTATCTAACTGACGGACTAAATAGATTGTTAATTTTGATACCCTGGAAACTACCCAATTATGGGTGGTCATTGTTGAAGTGGTTGGTTTTCGTCTGAGGAATATGTCTCACGACAGTTATTATAAAAACATATTCTACTTTATATTTGTTAACTCACCGTAAGATCTTCAATCATGACTTCTTGGCCAACGTTCTCTTCTTCCAGCCACAGCTCGTAATATGTTCGAGCGAATATATTACACGCTCGATGTCTGTTGAACATTAATACATAATCAAATTACATTAAATTGATGGAAACATTAAGTTAATTGGTTATTAGCCAGTTTAATAAAGTATAAACAACGACTAGGTTCTAAAAACATCATGCTCACACACATGCGATTTTAATTATATTTTACGGTTTACGTAACCGTTCGACAATGTAGGTTGTATAATTTATGAGCCCCTGGATTGGCTTGAAACTAGTCGAGTAAACTCGTTGAATGGGAGTAAGTTACAGTTGACATGTCTTATATTTTTTTTTTAATTTCAAACCTACCGACTCATCTTATAAAGATGTATGGAACGGAGACAGGCTATCGCCGCTCTCTTTCTAGCGGCACATAGCACTCTCTTCCATACATCGGAGCGTTGTCGCGGCTTCGTCGCCTAGTCCATTCCAATGGCAGCATGCGCAATCATACTTACGTACAACTTTTTATATAATTAAAAGCAAAACTATTTAATACATATTAAATAATATAATTTATTAATATTATTATTGGTGACATATTTAGTGTATCAAACAAATACTGACCGTAGACGATATAAACTTAAATGATTCCTAAAATATTCCTTGAGAAGTTCCAAAATTATACATTTTGAAATATTATGTTTGCCTCGTTGGCCGAGTGGTCGCAAGTGCGACTGCTTGGCAAGGGGTCTCGGGTTTGATTCCCGGGTTGGGCAAAGTATTACTGGGTGTTAAAAAAAATCATAGCACGGAGTCTGGAATTGTGCCCAGTATATGGCCATAGGCTCACCCCTATTACATGGGACTCATAACTTAAATAATGAAAAGTGGGTGTTACATTGTACAGTTGCATTAAGTGCCGTAATGTCTATCTTTCCCTCCCTGTTTATCCCTCCGGGGATAAAAGGTGTAATGTTGTGTTATGTGTGTTAGGAATGACAAGAATTAAGGTACTTAACAAGTGCCTACCCATTTCATTAAACAATAGAAAAACAACACCTAGTTTTATTTTTCAAAACACAACACACTCATGCCAAAAGATATTTACTTAAAGAAAATCATGAATAACTGCTGATTGTAATGGATTAAGTATTAATTTATTAGACAGGTAATGGACTTAATAGAAATACTAGTTTATTATTACGATTAAAAACTAAGGTTAGACCACAACTGGGCACACGACAACATCACGCTATGCACACGATAGAGACCTCGGCAGAGAATGTAGCGACGTCTGTCTGAAGCAAGCGATGACAGCTCGCTTACGTTGTATAGACACCACTGAACGGTAGACATTCTTACTCATTTGTTGGGGATGGTCAATCTAGTGTCATGTAAAATTTATATTAAAATATAGTTTTAGAACTAAAGATATCAATTATTAAATTAATTTTACTTTCGAAGGCGAAAATAACCAAAAACATAAAGATTATCCAAGTAGTTATAAACTATTTCATCGAAAATATTTAAAACTTTATTCGTCAAAACATTCCAAAGTCACTAAATTTTAAGTCGCGTTTAACTATAGTTCTGTCTCTACAAATTCTTTGTAAAATGACAGAGATGGCACGATATTTAAGTATTTTAATTAAAATTGAGTAGGTAGACTTCAATATTCAGGCGTAAGTCTATTAAGACCTCATATTCATTATTCTTGCATTGAATAGAACAATTTGATAACAATTCAGATTCTATCATTGTGACTGTTTATTTACAACAATAATAATGTTTAAAGATTAAGCCAGTTTATAACAGTAACGCATACTTTAAATTTCTACCTTTTCTAATTTTTACGTCCACTCTAGAAAGTTATCAATCAATGTTGAATTAACCTATCAATCAACGATGTATCAATCTATCAATCTATTGTTAGATTTATTCTTTAAATTTCTTTCTCTCATAGGTTTATGAGAGAAAGAAATTTAAAGAATAAAATTAAAAATAAATTTTCAAAATCATCCTAATCAACCAAAAATAGTTAATAACGCATTATTTAACTTACCATATGTAATCCAAACAGCACTTTGCTCATAGCAACAATCCTTTCCACGGTGTCATCAATTATTTTAGCTTTATTCTCAGCAGTCTCAACAGTGATATTCGTTTTACTCTTAGAACCAAGTTTGCTATACAAGTAATGTTGCCAAGACATTTCATCAGCTGGGTCAATTTTATCAGGCAATGTCAATTGTGTTTTCGCAAATTCAGCTACATCTTGTTCGGACATTTTCTGTAATTTGGTTAAGTCATATTTGTTTAGTAAAATTCTTGCAAGTATTGAGGGCTTAGAATTAAATAAGTGGGGTGGACTTTGGTTCGTGGAAAGGGGTGCAGTAACTCGTGGGTTCGAAGCTGTGCCAGGTTCAAGCTTAGCTGTTTATACAATATAATACTAGTATTTGCCTTTGTTTTCGTCAGGGTGCTTCGTATTATACATCTAACAGGGCTGTGTCTTGATAAAACTAGCAAATATGTTTTTTTTTCTTCTAATTTAGGCTAGTCTTGGCCTCTACAATTTTCGATTTAATTCTCAGGTGGCGCGTCCTATTAGCCCAATACTTAGTCATCAATAGTTGACTGATATAAGACATTATACATAGTTCTATTGCTAAAGATTTAGCGATTTGCTTGATTACCAACAATAATGTAGTTTACAAGAATAGTGCAATAAAAGTCTACATAAGCCAGGGTAGTGCACGTTAAATGCATGGCTGTTCAAAGAAAAATAAATAATAAATAAAGTTTAACACTGATCAAAAATACTTACACCAGTAAAAGTTAAATACCCAAGAAGACATTAGTTTTAATATTTATTGTCCCATTAAAATTTGAAATGACAAAATCAGAAATATTTTTAACTGTAACTTAAGTAAGTAATATAGCATCGCCACACAGACTATTTTGCTATACGGACTTGGGGTAATTGCCACATAATAGGCTGAATGCCACTTACAACTTTACATTACGAAGAAATTATTCCCAAATTGTTTTAATATTTAAAATATCCCTCTTAATATCAAACAAATATTTAAATGTAACCCAAAAATCTATTTCAAAACCGAAATTCACAACCGAGGTATAAATATATAATTGATCAGTTTCTAAATTAAAAATTAACTTAAAGAAGATGGTATTAATGAGGGCAGTGATTACCTTGAGTGTTCCTACCTTCAGGAACCTGTCTTTGCAATGCTGTACCAGTTCCTGCTCTCTACCTGCGAAGAGGTTCAGTCCTACTGGCAGAAGTCTTTTGAGACAGGCCACCATTAGAGAAGCTTGGACTTCTTTGTCTTTATCACGCTTCTTATCGCGGTGCTTCTTCTTTTTCTGTATATTGTAATAGAATTATTGTTAGTATTATAGGAAAATAGACAAGAATGCCAACAACAGCGGTTGTTTTATACTAAGTTTCATTGAGATGACTCTTAAAAAAATATCGTCACAAGCAAAATACTTGTACGTCTATAATATAGCTTTTCTATTCATCTATTTGTATGTCGGGGAGTTTTTTTGTGTGTATACATTGTACACAACGTGGTGCGAAAATTATTAAACGATAGCTGTTGTTGGTATTCAGTTTTTGATATTATGATGTAGTGGAATATCATTCTGAATACTTCTAGTTATGGAATTTATATCTGATCCACTGTAAATAAATGAATTATGAACTTCAAATAAAAAAAGCAAATTAACGAATGTTTTAAAATAACCAAATAAAATCGTATTCTGCAATGCCTTGCATTTCAAAAGGTACTTTAATAACTTGTATGTAAGTAGTAGTTTTGTTTGTACATTCAGTAAAACTAACTACTTTCACTGTCTGTTCTAACTAGAATTTTCATTTACACACTGCAAAGGGAATCTTTGTAATACAATACAACTTGTTATCTTATAATATTTATTTGGTAGGTATATGCGTTGATTGATCGGTATTTATGTCTAAAAGTCAAATCAAATAAAAACAAAAAAAAATGTGTGGAAAGTAAAGTAAAATCTAAGATGTAGGTAAAAGAGTAAATCAACTGAAGTAAAACACGAGAATAAACCAAGAAATAAACAATACAGTAGCAAAATAAAAATGGATAATGAAGTAAGAATAAATATTACAGATTCTTACACAAATTCAGACAGGGAAAGACATAAAAAGAAAAATAACAGTCTGTGTGTAAAAATGTACAGTACACAATCTAACAAACGATTGATCAATCGTTGATGTATCAATCATAAAGTTGATAGTGGGGATGATAACATCTAGTCAAATTCATTGCCTTTTTTAGAATTTAAGAAATGTCAAAAACGACACATTTCTATGAATTTTGTATTTTATTCATAGTTGTGACGTCATAACTTTTGTACACCAAATATATTGTAAATTAAATTGAGCTTTTAATGAAATTAATAAGAATATCGTTATTTTTAGTTAGTCTTATACATTCAATAGTGGAAATAATATATTTTTGACTGAGTCATCATCCCTGTTCTCGAGGACAGATAAAGTAAAGAATAGATCAGTATAATATTGTACACGTGATCCAAAACCTGCATTTCATCTTGATCCTCATATTGTCGAATCAATGTCTCCTGAATACTTACTGCTTTCATCTAGAGATAATTAAGTCAATGTGTATTAGTAATTTCAATCAATCAATTAATTAATTAATCAATTCGTTTAATATTCATTAGTGAATTTAGGCTTGAATATGATCATAGTTATTTAAAAGAGAATATTTATAATATGAATATGCAAATATTTATAAATAATTGTTCAAGCCTGAAGACACACAGTTGTTGTATTTTTTTATATGTTTTGTGTTTAGTGTTGATATTTGAATTTTTTTTAATTAGAAGTAGCTTTAACAGTTTTATTATAACCTTTTTTAAATCATTTATATCATGGTATTATTGAAAGCAAAGCTGCAATATAATTATTTATTTGTATTTAAATTTTGTGTAAATGTGTCAAAACTATTATTAGTTTATTTAATTTTCATTTCTAAAGTGTTATATAAATAATTAAAATACCTTGCCACCGGCTTGTGGAGTACCGTCTACAACTGCTGTTACCCTTCTAGTTGCTGTTGGCATGATCAGTACCTGTAGAAAACATAGTTTAATTAATAAAGCAAATATATAAAAGTATCTCCTTGTAAAATGAATATAAAATTTAGCATAAAATAAATTACCAACGAAGACGTACAAAAGTGTAAACTACATGAAAATCTTATATCTTATACTATTATATAAAGCGTAAGAGTTTGTTTGTTTGAACGCGCTAATCTCCGTAACTACAAGTCTGATTTAAATAATTATTTTTGTGTTGGATAGCGCATTTATCGAGGATGGCTATATATAGGCTATAAAACATCACGCTACGATTAACAGGAGCTGAGAAGAGCGTGTGAAACCGCGCAGAAGTAGCTAGTCTATACATATAATAAATCTGTAGAAAAGTAATTTTTGTACATTGAAGAAATTGACAAAAAAATTAGCCAGCGTGTTAAAAGATAACTAACAGAACCCATTTCCATCATTTTTGAAATTTTTGTCTGTTTGTCTGTTTGTCTGTTTGTTTGTGCGCGCATCACGTAAAATCTACGAATTCAATGCAGACATTGCTTATATACAAAAATTCTACGCAACTCAAGGTATAACTTAGTTTTTGTTTCATCGAAATCGGTTCACTCTATCAGAAGATATGATTAATTTAGTGAGTTCAAGTAAGTATTACAACACGCAATTCAGTATAGTACTCGAAATGACATCTTTGGAAAATTGGTTTCGTTTGGTCGTTGGTTTAAAGTCCAAAGTAAAGATACTACTTGATATTATAAACAAGTAGAATTTTGTTTTTAAGTGGCGAAAATCATCGAAGACTGCTCCCGCCTGGGTGAGGCGGAAGGGAGTGTCAGACTCTTACTGACTAAAAACCACCCCGTTCCTTCTCCTGCACGTCGAGCCGCGCCCCGGTTACCCGTTATGTTCTCCGCGACTCCGAATCGGCATCGGCCCTGTTGAGCCCCATCTGTGGTGGTCTGATGGCTCTTTGACGCCATACGCTCGGGTCTGTTTCTGGTCGGACGGGGAGCCACCCATGCCCGCCGTTCGCAGGCCCGCGCTTACAGTGGCCGGAGATCGTCCCGCGATCCCCGACGCCCGGTGTGTCTTTCGCGATGGCTGGGTTGCGAGGAGGCAGCGCTTCGCTGCCTCACGCGACCAGCCTCCTCCTTAGCTAGCAAGACTGCTTCGCAAAAGGAGGAGACGGCATCCCAGTCCCCCTCGCTCCACATCATGGCCTGCACTAGGCCCGGACGCGAGAGGTCGCCATCCCCGATCACTTCCCTGAGGGCACGGCGGTGCTCAGCCCACGCAGGGCATTCCCCCACTGTGTGATCCACTGTGTCCTCAGGGCGGCCCTCGCAGTAATGACACCCGGGCCTTTCCTCCCGCCCCATCAGACACAGGTACCTCCCGAAACTTCCATGTACGGTGAGGACCTGCGTCAGGCGGTAGGTGAGGACGCCGTAGCCGTAGCGTCTCTCAAGCCACTTCTCAAAGAGAGGACTTATCGCTGCAATGGCAGCGAGCCCAGCCCTCGGTTGCGACGGTCGTTGCTGCCATTCCGCCATGAGATCGCGCCGGAGCTCATCCCGCCACGCACCTATCTGGCGCGGCAGCGGAGTTTCGCCCCGGCGACATGCCTCCGCGCGCATGCGATACACGCGCGCGAGCACCTTCGCCTCCAGATCCCACGGTGGTAATCCGGCAAGGAGGTTCGCCGACTCCCCGGAGATCGTAGACATAGCAGAAATAGCAGTTGCTACAAATTTCGACTACTAAGTTGCGATCTCCGTTCAGTAATATCACTTTTATCTTTATTAACGTAAATAACTTTTTTTACGGAAAAAAGCTTTAATATTTCAAAATGAATACTCTTTAACATTATTACGCAATAAACTTCTGAATGCAGGTAGAAATAAAGAAGTATCACCGAGTGTATTCGGGAAGCGTCGTGATCGTTCGGGTAAATTCGTAATTCTCCGCGTAAGTGGCAAGCGCGAGGCGAGCTGCATTATGATTATGAACGACCACACTGGGTATTAGTGAGTATGACGACAGATCCGGTCAATAGGGCCGTACTGTCAGTTCTGTCACAGTCTATACAGTCGTCCAACGAAGACGTCTAGACAGGGCAATCGTGCGGGGTGTGAAGGGCGAGACGCGGGTAGGCCGATCCCGAGCTGCGAACAAAACGATGTTAGTAGCTCGGGATATATTATTCAGGGCTAACGCGTGTTTGTTTTTACCGACTTCAAAAAAAGGAGGAGGCACTATGTTTGAGTGATTGTTTATTTTTATGTATGGTTCCGTTGCATGAAATTTTTAATTTATCGTCATGGGTGTCGTTTTCATGGTTTTCGAAGGTAGTAAAACCGATGGTGCTGTCAAAATGTAAGTCCAAGATGGCAGCTGCACGAAATTTTTAATTTATCGCCATGGGTATCGTATTCATGGTTTTCGACGGTGGTAAAACCGATGGTGCTGTCAAAATGTAAATCCAAGATGGCGGCTGCACGAAATTTTTAATTTATCGTCATAGGCATCGTTTTCATGGTTTTCGAGGGTGGTAAAACCGATGGTGCCGTCAAAATGTAAATCCAAGATGGCGGCTGCACGAAATTTTTAATTTATCGTCATAGGCATCGTTTTCATGGTTTTCGAGGGTGGTAAAACCGATGGTGCTGTCAAAATGTAAATCCAAGATGGCGGCTGCACGAATTTTTTAAGTTATCGCCATGGGTATCGTTTTCATGGTTTTCGAGGGTGGTGAAAATGATGGTGTTGTCATAATGCCAATCCAAGATGGCCGCTGCCCGAAATTTTTAATTTATCATCATGTGTATCGTTTTCATGGTTTTTGAGGGTGGAATTCGGTGAAAATGATGGCGCTGTCAGAATCTAAATCCAAGATGACGGCTGCATGAAATTTTCAATTTATCGTCATGGGTGTCGTTTTCACGTAACTACATTGTGTTTGGGTTTGTATAATTTGTATTGAATAGAACTTTGCACCTATGTGGATTATAAGTGGCAAAACTAAATATAAAAAAACTGCGTTTAAAAAACCGACTTCTCAAAAAACTTAAAAACAAATAAAAAGTAAAACTAAAAAGCAAAAAAGTAACCATATTAGTACTGATGGGTTACTCACCCACTGACCGACTTTTAGTCGGTGCCTTAAGCCCGTATTTTTGACAACCCTGGCCGATGCGTTACTGTCTAGACTCTAGATGATGTCGGCATTTTACACGAGATCAAAGGTCATGAATACGAACGGAACGAATAGGGACCGGGTTTCTGCTTACATACCCAGTATGCGTACTGGTAAGCTCAAACCAGGTATTTATACCTGTACCAGTAAATACGTATCATCCCTTAGTAGGTAGTAAGTAGAAGTATTTACTTCTGAGTTGAATAGTGCCAATCGCTACAGTGGGTGCAACGAATTCGTTAAATCGTGACCACGAACTGACCATTTGCTATCATACGAGACTGTTCGACGCACCGATTTTTAAAATTTTGTCGATTTTGTATATTACTTTGACATTTTCCTTAAAAAACGTCACAGAAAAAAAATCCTTTTTGTATAATGCTCCGGGTAATTCAACCGCTAATCTATTATATACGGAAGCATTAACGTAATCAACTAGAGGTAGATACCAATATTACCAAATAAAAATGTACTATAGTCAGGATCTATATTGGCAAAAAAATACTATACCATCTTCTTGAGTGGAGTTCGTATGTACCTATATAGCCCACTGTTATCTAAACGATGTTGTTTTGTTTTCGACAACCACGCGAACGAAGTCGCGGGCACAGCTAGTAAGAAATAATTTTAAAACCTATAATATGAATATAAATTAAATATTGTCAAACTAGGAGTTCTGTTGTTGACTTAACATTGTCATTTAACATGCCTGAAAGTGTATTTGTTGACGAGAGGTAACCAGACAAATTTTTTAAAGACTGCCCCACTCCTGGCTTTACTCCTGTATCATGGGTGCGTTGTCAAACATACAAGTTCACATACACATGATACACAGACCAGAAACAACAATTTGGGGATCACACCCGTGCGGGAATCGAACCCGTGGCACATCGCGCGGCAGCTGATTTTCCAGCCACTGCACCAACTGTGCCGTCAATTTCACATTTGTCTATTAAGACAAACGAAGTATTTGTCTTATTTTCATTAAACACTAGCTTTTACCCGCGGCTTCGCTCGCGTCACAAAAAGATAAGAAGTGGCCTATGTGATATATACCAATACACACAGCGCCATCTATACTAATACTTTTGTTTTCCCTCGGGAATATAAATTTTTCCAGGATAAAAAGTACCCTATTATTTAATCCGGACTTCTAACTTTCCTTCTGCAAAAATTCAAAGCAATCGGTTAAGTAGTTACGGCGTGAAAGCGGAACAAATAAACAAACAAACTCACTTTCCGATTTATAATATTAGTAAGGATTTTAATTAAGACTTACCATGTTATCGATCTCATTAGCAGATATGAAGTTCTGCTCCTCTTTCAAGAAGTACTGACTCTTGGACCAGATGTTGAAAATTTCAGCAACGTGGTTGTAAAGCTCTTCTGCCTCTATATAAAACAAAACAAAAATAGTTTGACTAATCTAACTATTCATTGATACACTTTCCAACCAAGTAATACCAATATCTTTCATATTCACTTATTCTACATCCTTAATCCCCAAAATCCCCAATCTCCAAATGATCACCAATCACCAATCTCCAAATCCTAAAAGGCCGGTTACCCACTTGTGAATCTTCTATTATTGCGAGTGTCCATGGGCGGTGGTACAATAAAAAAAAATGAATCTACCAATCGATTGACAAATCTACCAATAGATTGATCAATCAATAAATAAATTTTACGTACCTGGCACGTTGTTCCTGAGCCAGTGGTTTCTTTGTAAGTCTACATATTTGATGAGCAGTGGGTAGAAGGAATATATGTCACGAACCAACAGCTGCCAGTCTTCTTGGATTTGAGATTCTACTTGAGATGTATCGTCAGTTGATGACTGAAAAGAGATTGTTTAATTTAAGGTTTGTTTGTACACCTATGAAAAAAAATTAAACATGAGTTTTTGAATGACATAAATAGATTCGATGTTATTCTAAGGATTGAAATAATTATGAAGGGCTTCAATCCATGCTGGATCAGTAAGTTGTACTTCTAGTATTTATTTGTTTTACTGCGTTACTCAGAGACATGTAAAAATTATTTATTTTTAAAACGTTGCCCCACACTAGGATTATCTCTTGTGTCGTGAATGAGTTTACGAACATACAAGTTCACATACACATGACACCCAGACCCGAAACAACAATTTGTGTAAATGTGTGTGTAATAATTACTTAAACTATTCCTTAGTAACGATTTTGTTCCGAAAAAAATTGCTAAGGACTGGGTTAAGTAGCCTTTAAATGACTGAGTACGGCGGTAAGTGTCTTTAAGATGTTACGTATTAGACAGTTATCAATCCCATAAGTTTCTTCATCCGAATCGAAGTGAAAGCTAGTCCATGGTTCTTTAATTCCGAATACCAAAAACCAAAAACTTTATACAAGACACGATTTCATAGCAAATTGTTACCTTTATAAATCCTCTCAAGCTCTCCTCCTTATGGAACATATTATCGGTCCTCTTTCGGACCCTCTCAGCGAGAGGAAGGAAGGAGTCCCTGAGGAGTTCCTCTGAACTGTTGATGATGATCTGTTGGGTATAGGTAGCTATGCGAGTCATCCATGGAGCGTTCTCATTGCCTATGTTCTTCTTGATGAGCTTCAGAACGTTCTTTAGAAGTTGGTTCATATGTTCTGCTGTCACCATTGTAACGTGGTTGCTAGAAGAGTGAGAGGTTGTTAGATTTTTCTTCGATGTTACAGAGTTTTAGTGGTATTGACATATATAATTGAATAGACTATGAATTATCACTATGTTGGGCTTTATAAGATGAAAAATATTTCATATTGAAAATTATTCAAATGCTACATTATAACATAAGATTACGCCTTTTATCCCCGAAGGGGTAGGTAGAGGTGCATATTATGCCACTGTGCTATGTAACACCCACTTTTCACTATTTATGTAATGAGTCCCTTGTAATAGGAGGTGAGCCTACTGCCATATACCGGGCACAATTCCAGACTCCGTGCTACTACTAAGAATTTTTTAAAACCCAGTAATACTTTGCCCGACCCGGGAATCGAAACCGCGACCCCTTGCCGGCAGTCGCACTTGCGACCACTCGGCCAACGAGGCAGGCTACATTGTCTACAAGTAATATTAAAGAAAACCTTTTCCTTCCGCCACAGTTCCACATTTCGGGGATTCTCAGCTAGTGAATATAAATGTAGGTAGAATGTACCAGATTGGTCTGATCACCAATGTCCCATGATTTACTAGTTATCAAAAGTGTTTAGACCCTTTATAGTGCACTTACACATTTGGGAGTCTATGCAATTTTTGTTATCATAGCTATAAACTCGTTGAGTACCGTCATTATAGACACAATTAAAGAACAATAGGTTGCGGTCACCGATGACCGCTCGGTGTTTGACAGTTTAACCGTCCTATTAAATAGGTAAACCACTTTCCACTTACCCTCCAGTAGGAGTAACGTTATCAGGTCCCTGTGCCCACCAGAACGGCAAATAAGAGCAGAGTAAAGGCAACACCACATCAATAATATGAGGAGCTTCGTTGTAAGTCTTATCAGACTCCACGAACTGGTCCACTTCACCTAAGATCGTTTCTAGTGTCGGCATGCATTGTTCCATTTTCTGCATTATATCTAGAAGGGATAGAGTTTAGATTCAGTTTTATTTGATTAAAATGTTAAAATTCGAAATGCTTTGGTTGTGATGTAGTTTATTTAAATGTCTCATGATAATTGTTTGGCATAAAAATTTATGCGATAAGCTTTCAAATAAAACTATACGGATGCATAATGTAGAGGTATAATTATACACATTTTCGTTACTTACAGCATTGGTCTTATTACAAAAAGAAGAAAGTCTAAACTCACAGTTCCAAACTTAATGAGTTTATTTCTTTGCGTTGCAGGCTGATTAAGGCTTTCGGGATAAAAAAAATAAGTGTGGAAGGGCCATGCCACGGCACAAATGGGCCAGCTCGACCAGAGTGGTACCACGGCCTCACAAAAGATCGACGTGAAACAACGTCAGCGTTGTTTCGACGCGTAAGTGAGATTACCGGAGGTCCAATTACCCCTCCCCCCTTTCTCAATCCTTGAACCCCCAACAATCCTTAAATTCCTAATCCTAAAAGGCCAGTAACGCCTCTGGTGTTTCAGGTGTCCATGGGCAACGCCGATTGGTTACCATCAAGTGATCCATCTGCTCGTTTACCGGCTTATCCCATAAAAAAAATCATTTTCTGAATATGGAACTTAGGAGATAAGACATATTTAGATCCGTTGTCGTTTATGCAGTAATTTCGCTTGGCAGGTCTTCTAACGGCTAGGAGACAAACCGAGAGTGACGTAATGCCGGGTCCCGATTGCATGTGTGACGTCATCCGACACCTTATCGACACGATTGTGAGGCAGTCTACTACTACTTCATATCCTACAATACTTTATTATTTTCTCACATACCTTGAGCCTCCAAAGAGTGGTCAGCGATCCTGTTCAGCAAGGAGAACTGATTGTGTTTGTTCAAGTGAGGCTCCAAAAACGCCACGGGGAATGTCGAGCTGAACGCACCGAGGCACGAACCCTGAACATAGAATGCACTATGTTAATTATCTTATGTGCTTAAAGTTTTGCAGATTCTAAGAAATAATATTAAATAATAATATATTATATTTCATCTCATAACGCTGTGTGGTGTTAGTTTCGGTATCTTTGACTTTAAAACTCATTGACTTTAACAAATTGGGTACTTTCCTGAATTAAAAATAAATTACTTCGACTTTTCATTAATTTCATTAACACACTTCGACACTTTAATTAATTGATTTTATGATCAACTTAATGCTGTTTGACCCTAAAAAGCGTGACGTCAAAATTCACAACCTCGTACAAAAATCATAGAAAACTAGTTTTTGACAATTCGAAAAAAGTATTAAATTTGACTGGTTAGCAAATACCCAATTTATTTAGTATCGAATAAGGTTTGACGATTTCTTTGCTTTCAAAGCATTAAAATTATTCTGAGAAAATTGCCAATTCGGTAGAAAAACTTACCAAAGCAGGTTTATGTCTCTCGATTTCAGTCTTGAGGTATTTTCTGTCGTGTGTGAGGGACGCGTCAGTGCCCAACGCGTACAGTGAACCCAGCATCTTGTATGACGCCACTTGGATCTCATCCACTGGAGAAAAACATAATTTAAATAAATTAAAGGTACTTATTTACAATTTTGGTTGTCCTAACTAAATCCTCTATTTTAATTTTTTTTTATTACCCTCCCCTTCCCCAATCTCCCCAATTCCTGAATCCCCAACGATCCTTAAACTCCTAATCCCCAAAAGGCCGGTAACGTACTTGTAACGAATCTGGTGTTCCAGGTTCCATGGGCGACGCCGATTGCTTACCATCAGGTGATCCGTCTGCTCGTTTACCGGCTTAAGCCATAAAAAAAATTAGTTTTCTAACATTTCAAATATTTTTTTTCAAAATCAACGTCAAAAGTGAAAGTCAAAGCAATTATTTCAATTAATCCTTAATAAGGCACTTTTGAAATGTCAAAAATTGAATTGTCTTTCCGTCTGTTTATTAGTGAAGCTAGGCGCTCGTTACAAAGTGTAGTTTCGAAGGGAGAAGAACGAGCAAGAAACTCCATCGTTACTCTTTTCTAAAAAAATATTGTTTTTTTAATAAGTTGCCTAACATTTCACAATATATTTCTTGAAGTTATTGTCAAAAAAGGGTGTTATAATAATAAAAAAAACGCGTGGCAAAATAAGGAACAGGCAGGCTTACGAGACTAACTCAAAAAGTATACATAAATATAAAAAGTGTTATGTAGAGGTATAATGTACATACATAAAACTACAATAAATGTCTTTCTGTGAACATAAATCAATAAAATGAATGTATAAAAATATATTGGCTACAAAAATGACAAGGCTACATTAGAAAAAAAATTGAATCAGAGACCATTTGAAATATTGCGAAATGATCGATAAAACGTGACGACGACGTTTGAATACAATTTCGTTTATCGTATAAATCTTGTATAAAATATTACTCTTAAATGTTGTTTTACAGTGCGCTCTTTGTTTGTTTTTTGACTATTCTGGTAATTATTTGCTTTATTGTCTAGTTCATTGATCAATCACACTATAGAATAGAATAGAAGAATAGAATATAACTTTATTGTACACCATTAATAATACAGTAGATACAGAAAAGGAAATGACAAATATAAATAAAAATAATAATGGGCACAAAGGCGGTCTTATCACTTATAGTGATTTCTACCAGACAACCTTTGGGTGGATATAATGAAAAGAAATATTTATACGGGTTGTGTACTAAGAAAAAAAATAAATAAATAACGTAGTAATAATATATACATACATGTACATATACATACACATAAACATGCATACATATACACATACATACATACATACATGCATACATATACACATACATACACACAAACATACATATATACATGATTACATACCTACTTACACTTAAATATACCATTATTATGGACCACTTAAAAGGAAACAGTTTGGTGATGACATTATAGAGAAGAGAGGTAGTGCTTCTTAACTTGGCCCTTAAACGCAGCCAACGACTTAGCTTGTCTTATCGACACTGGCAGTGCATTCCACAACCTAACAGCTTGCACAGTGAATGACTTGCTGTAGAATTTTGAGGAATGCTGGGCCATCTCCAATCTCAGATTCGCTGACGACCTCAGTGATCTCGAATGTGCGTCATTTAGGAACTTGAAACGTTCTTTGAGGTAAGAGGGGGCAAACGGATTGAACAGTATATTGTAAAGTAGGGACAAGATATGAGTATTCCGGCGAAGGCGGATTGGCAGCCACTTGAGTATATTGCGATATTCGGTAACGTGGTCATACTTGCGCAAACCAAATATGAACCTGATGCTATAATATTGATTGCACGTTTGGTGGTGCGGTGGTTAGGTCGCGGGTTCGATTCCCGCTCGGAACAATTCTTTGTGTGATCCACAGATTGTTGTTCCGGGTCTGGGTATCATGTGTATATGAAATTGTATGTTTGTAAACGCACCAACGACACAGGAGAAAAAAACTAGTGTGGGGCCATGTTTTATAAAAAAACAGAAAATATGATACTAAAGATACAGAGAGAGTGTGATAAAGAGAGTGCCTTTGTCATCTTTCACTCATTTATTTTATCGCAGAATGCGATATTTTATCGCATTCTTCCCTTTGTTTTCTTTTCTTTTTTTCAACATTTTTTACTAGCTCTTGTGGATCATTGTAGATTTAATCTTTGTAATGAAATGGTCTCAATTGGAAACCTGACTTAAAATTCCTCAGGTTTATAGCCGTTAACAGTACCGTAAAATATAGTTTTATCTTTACTGTAACGACAAAATAAACAATACTTTTAGGCTTTTGACAACAAAGAAGTAAAAAAAACAGAACCACAAAAACCAGAAACAATATTCGCTGATGTCATTAAAAATATATCACGTGTCAACAACGTATTACAAGACCTGATCAATAACTATGAACAATTACAAAAAGTATACAAATCACAAGAGAATTTTGATGGACCAGACTATTCCAGTGAAAGGGACAACGATCATTCATCTCAAAATACTAAAAAGTCAAAAAGAGCATCCCTAACCACAGCCACACCTTACATGTTTTACCAGGCAGGTACTAGAATGATACTATCAGACACCGACGTCGATAATACAGCCAAAGTTGATACACCAGTCACAAAAAAAACGACAGTGTTCGATCCTATGGCTTTATCAGATTCTTCCGACATCGAAGACACCATAGAAGCAGATGTTAAACGACTCAAAGAACTAGAAACATCTAGAACTCCTAAAAGCGTGGACATAACCACAACTGCAAAAAATAAACTTCAAACTAGACAACCACCAAAAGACAGTAAAAAAGATAAAACTAAAGAGGCAAAAGATTTAAAAATAATCTTCGCTAGTATTCCAAAGAAAGTAAAAACTAAAATAGACAGCAAAACAAAAATAATGCCAGAATCGGTTCAGAAACTGTCTGTAGTTGATACCAATTCGATGAAATTAAAGGATGCGCTCAATAGTAATTCAAGACCACAAAATGGGCATGACGGAAATATTTCTAAACCAAAATTAAATAAATTACATGCTTACTCTATTGGCAGTACAGGAAAACAGGTAAATTTACAAATAAAAATATCTGAAAATCCAGAAAATCCAAAAGATGTAGAAAATATAAAAACTGTAGAAAAGCAAAGGAATACAGAAAAAGAAACAAATCAACAAAATTCAGAAAAACAAGAAACGCCGAGAAATGTAGAGAAAACAAGAACTGTAAAAAAGGTGACAATAATGGAAGATTCAAATGATTCAGATAACCAAGGAAATTATGCAACTCCAAGAAATGGAAATGCAGATAATATAAATAAATCGGACAATCCAAGTAATAGAGAAAGTCAAAGAGAAGCAGGTAATCCAGCTAACAAAGAAGCCATCAAAAGGCCAGGAAACCAAAACCGTCCTTTGTATTCAAAAGAAGTTACGGCTTCAGAAGAAAAATATTCTTTATCCGACGATGATAGCGCCATACATATTAATACCAATTCTAAAACTAAGACAACCAACTACATTGCTGTTTCCCAAATTGACTCGGCTACCTTGAGAAGCCACGTGGATAATATATCTGCTAGCATTACCAAGGATAACAAAGTACGTATGAACATGTTTTTATGAATATTGTAAACACATAATGCTGTCCCTTTTTGAAAATTATGTTATGAGTCCCGTTTAAATAGTCTATTGCCATACTTGACACAATTCTAAATTCCGTGTTATCCCGGCAATCAAATACGAGATTGAGAACCACGTTCTTTTATTAACTCAACCAATGAAGCAGTCTAATCTTGACTTTGAATTATGATTTACAGAAAATGCAAGATCTAAGTGATGATGACGATGATTTGACTAAAGATATGTTTAAAACCAGTGTGCTTCGCCAAGCCTACGGGGACGCCTGTCTTAAGCTTGTAGTTAGAAAATGTCATCGGGTAAGTGGTGGTTTGAAAAAAAATGGAGAAACCATGATCAAAATAAGTCAAAGATTTTCTTCTAATATTAGTCTACTGACAAGACGTGTTTTTTTTAGAAAATGTGACGATTTGGAATCTTGTTGTCACTAACAACTCTGTTCCTTGCAAGTTTTCGCTATTGTTACTGAGAATTTTTGAAATCGCACACACTTGTTAGGGCATTATAATCTACGAAAAACGTCTACAACTGAACAAAGGCCAACTGAATAACCATTTGACACACTCCCATCGCTTGGCAGGATATTTGGGGTTCATATTAAGTCGGCCAAATCTTACAGGATATCTCTGTATAGAATAGAATAAGGTGTTATTTTGCGGGACTCCACGGTACACTAACAACTGGGTACTTGAAACCAATCTCGATGTCAATGCAATTTTAATCCAATAAAATCTCAATAATTATTCAATACAAACACTATACAACCACAATCGCAGCGGTTACAATAGCATTCAGAGTACGGAATATAAAATCCATTTAGTTCATTAAATATCCACTAAATACAGTTGCAATGGGCGCTAGTGTTGCAACCCAAGAGTACGACATTTCACAATACCAATCAATCGGAATTGAATTCAAGAGTAAGCCGCATGGGCGCTAGTGTTTCAACCTAAGAGTACGACATTTCACAATACCAATCAATCGGAATTGAATTCAAGAGTAAGCCGCATGGGCGCTAGTGTTTCAACCCAAGAGTACGACATTTCACAATACTGATCGATCGGAATTGGATTCAAGAGTAAGCCGCATGGGCGCTAGTGTTGCAACCCAAGAGTACGACTTTCACAATACCGATCGATCGGAATTGCATTCAAGAGTACGCCGCATGGGCGCTAGTGTTGCAACCAAGAGTACAATATTTCACAATACCGATCGATCGGAATTGGATTCAAGAGTAAGCCGCATGGGCGCTAGTGTTGCAACCCAAGAGTACGACATTTCACAATACCGATCGATCGGAATTGGATTCAAGAGTAAGCCGCATGGGCGCTAGTGTTGCAACCCAAGAGTACGACATTTCACAATACCGATCGATCGGAATTGGATTCAAGAGTAAGCCGCATGGGCGCTAGTGTTGCAACCCAAGAGTACGACATTTCACAATACCGATCGATCGGAATTGCATTCAAGAGTACGCCGCATGGGCGCTAGTGTTGCAACCAAGAGTACAATATTTCACAATACCGATCGATCGGAATTGGATTCAAGAGTAAGCCGCATGGGCGCTAGTGTTGCAACCCAAGAGTACGACATTTCACAATACCGATCGATCGGAATTGCATTCAAGAGTACGCCGCATGGGCGCTAGTGTTGCAACTCAAGAGTACGACATTTCACAATACCGATCGATCGGAATTGGATTCAAGAGTAAGCCGCATGGGCACTAGTGTTGCACCCAAGAGTACGATATTTCACAATATCGATCGATCGGAATTGGATTCAAGAGTAAGCCGCATGGGCACTAGTGTTGCAACTCAAGAGTACGACATTTCACAATACCGATCGGTCGGAATTGGATTCAAGAGTAAGCCGCATGGGCGCTAGTGTTGCAACCCAAGAGTACGACATTTCACAATACTGATCGATCGGAATTGAATTCAAGAGTAAGCCGCATGGGCGCTAGTGTTGCAACCCAAGAGTACTGTAAAAAGGTGCGTCACTACGTACGAAGCGAGTCCCTTTTTATAGAGTTTGTAAGTTATTGATTATCAATGGTGAGATAAAAAATACACTAAGTTATGTTTGATTTAAGAATATATTAAATTCTACAAATGATGGTTTAACTGATTAATACTAAAAGATGATTTGATTTGATTTGTACGAGTAGACCGGCGATTGCGTACTACTATTGAACGTAAAATTCGATGCCTTTTATAAAAGTGTTTGTACGTAAAATGCTGAGCTGTTCGGTTGCGTTGCTCCGAACATATTCCCGACTGCAAGATGAATTGAAAGCACAAACTTAATCAAACCATCGAACACAAAACTAAACAATAAAATGCAAAAAATAATAATAAACAAAGACAATAATAAATGTAAAAGAAAACTAGAAACATAAACTACTACTTATCTATTTACTATATAGTAAAATTAGTTACATGTACAGAAATGATAAAAGAATAAATTTCTGTCCATCTTACTTAAACTAAAGAGTCCTCCACAGTCACAACGCGTTCTCTTCGCGGGATAGGTACCGTAGACCTATTCGTATTATTTGTTTTACGCATAGTGCTTGGCCACCGTTTGGCTAGAAATGAACTTAAGTTTGTTTGTTCACTATCACTAAGCTGACGATCAGCTGTACTCTGCTTTCGCGATCTCACTTCACTGTTCACATCACTGATTGTTTTTGGTGTGGTGGCCAGCGACTTCTGTCTCTGGAAAGCTTCCCCACCTGCACGACGAAGGGGCAGCGAGCAATATCTCGTCCATGTCCAGACTGCTGCTCCACCTACTGCCATAGCCAACAGTACGTAGGTTATGGTGTAAAGGTGAATATCATGAGACGAGATATCATCAATATCTGCTTTGCTCGACTTTAGACCTTTAATCTGTTCACCTAGCATGGACAAAGATTTATTCAAGCCTTGCTTCTCTATGATGTCTTCTGGTGATTCTTCGTCTAATGGAACGTTTATCTTTACGATATGGTTTATCTGATCGAGCTCAGGTATTTGAATATTTGGTGCGATTTCTAATTGGTTTATTTGTTTTTGTAAGGAATATAATGCAAAATCCTTGCCCTTGATAAAACACGATTGACTCAAGCTAATGACCCCGGCTCGAGTCAGCTGTTCGACGGAAACTTGATCATCACATATGATTTTTACTGAATAGCTGCTACAGCAAAAGTACAAGTATTGTGACGTAGAGTGTAATTCAAACCATTTGTTTTGGCATACTGATTTTTCAACGTTGCAATTATTGGTGATCGGATTAAGATTACAAAAATTTTGATCATTTTGTAAACTGAGGATTGGTTTAAACAGTTCACACATGAATAATTCTTCATGAAGCAAGCATGTATTTAGCTCATGAATGGTTGGTATGAAATAAGCGTCCTTTCTTAAATTTACTGCAACATAATCAGATACTGGTATTACTGTTATCATACTCTGGTTGTTTTCGTGCGGAACTGGTAGTATCTTATACAATTGAAAATTTTCTCTTGAAATAAGAGGAAATGTTATTTCAAAAATTATGTAAGTCTCCGTGACTCTTGCTTTGATTTTCAATAGCTTGTAAATGTGTTGAAGGTCAGTTTCGAGGTTCTCAATAGGCAAAGTCAGATCTTTGGGCATTTGCCCATAAATAATTTGCAATTCTCTTTTAATTTGTGCTGGTGTTAGAATATGTAAGCTGATTTGGCCATGGTGTATTTCAGAAATGGTATCGATTAAGGTTTCTTGGATTCTCTTGAGGTTGTGCATTAGATTAATGGTAGCGATGGATACAAAGGTGAAGTCTTGGTGTATAGTCATCACATCAATCAATTTCTTTTTGTATATTACTGGTCGCAAAATCTAAATTATGTAGATGTTTGTTTATAATTTTGTGCTGTTTTTCTATCATATTTTCTGTTCGTTGTAAAATGTTATGTTCCGCTTCAACTATAGACGTTTGGTTCTTCCATAACTGAGCCAGGTGGTTTTGATTACGGTGTACAAGTTCAATGTCCTGTTTGTATTTTTCTGCGAAACTCTCGTCTAATACGCCAAACAATGAGTTAGCAATTGAACCGACTGCGTTGATAAGACCGCGTCGGGTTCGATTGCGAGTATTATAATGCTGACTAAGTAACAGCTGGTTGTAATATTGTAATTCATTGTAATCGTGACGTATTTGTAGTAGGATCATATGACAGTGACTCGGTTCCTTGATGGTTTCGCACGTTTTTTCGAGATAATTGGTGAAATCTTTAATCGCCTTCTCTCCTTGCCAATATGGGGACATATCGTAGAAGGTGACAAGTTTCCAGTTATCTCGAATCAATTGTATTTTTCCCAGTGGGTCAAAATACAAGGTTTGGTTGCTGTTTAGTTGTTTGTAAGTAAAGGATGCAGTGGTCGGTGATATGATATTAAGGAACATTAACAACGCCAGTGCTATGTTCACTATCCTCGGATGAGTTGATGAGTTAGTGTGTCGTCTACTTCTTTCTTCTGGTTGAACATTTTCCGTCTCTGGTGTTATTGTTTTGGGTTCTACTTGAGGTTCTATCGGTAAAACCGAAAGCTTCACTATAGGCCGCTTGACATATCCGTTTTTGGTTTTTAAGGTAACTACTCTTACTAGGTCATCATTTCCGGGGTGTACTTCGGTTATACGGCCGACTGGCCACTTCCCAGCTGGTAAATTATCTTCCATTATAATGACCACATCTCCCACCTTAACGTTTTTCTGGTACTTAAACCATTTATTTCTGGCAGACAATTGTGTTAAGTATTCGCGTTTCCATTTCTTCCATAAATCTTCGTATAATTTGGTTACTAATTGCCACCTGGTTCTGGCATCTTCTGCTGTCTCTATCACACACGCCTGGTCGTGTTGTTAAAAAATGGGCTGGTGTTAGGAAATCGAGGTCTTCAGGATCTTCTGTAAGCGCACAGAGTGGACGAGAGTTAAGACATGCCTCCAGCTTTGCCAAAAGTGTGCAATATTCCTCGAAGGTGAGCTTTTGATGGCCGATAACACGCTTGAGGTGGTGCTTAAGGCTTCGTACGGCTCTTTCCCAAAGTCCTCCCGCGTGTGGACACGACGGTGCGTTGAAGTGCCATTCAATTTGAAGTTCGGTAATCTCTTTGTAGAAGCTTTCGTTAAATGTTTGTTGAAGACACTCGTACTCTTCTTGAAGTATTCGATTTGCTCCGACAAAGTTGGTACCATTGTCGGTATAGATATGACGTGGTGTTCCACGCCGCGCTGCCATCCTGTTAAGTGCAGCTAAGAAGGCCGAACT